TTAATCAAATTACGTCACCATATTATAAAATTGATTATCAACTAGTTGGCCCCAAAGTTGACCAGGGTAAAAGGAGCGGCTGAACATATTTCTTTTGGATGCAAAGCTCTGGCTTTTTGATCCAAATAGCAATTCCTAGAACACCTGCCAATATCACTTGTTCCACAGGAGCAGTTGAGTTGAAAGATACAATCGTTAATTCATTAAACAAATGACTATTAATACAAAATGTGATGGTATCATTAATGACGAATAAGGTATAAGTGAAACCAATAACATAATGTTAAATGTATAATTATCTCAATTAAGCGACAGAATGCATATATTGTCTAATTAAATACTAGTGTTGATTACTAATATTAATACGTTGTTACTTTTAATATACATAATGTTAGTTTTAATTTTTCACATGTCACTCATCGACACACAGGGTAACTAAATACTGTATGTCACTTACAATAAACAGATTTTGTTATAAAAGGTTTTTAAGAAAAACAACAATGGGGATAGGTCAGTTTAACCATTACCAATTAAGAAGTCGATTAAAAAAAATGTAGACAGTATTTTTAATGATAATAATCAAAACGTTTGTCGAAAAATAGCCTTAGTGATTTGAATTTAGACATATTTTGAAGTTTTACACCATCACTTATTAAGATCGAAGTAAGAAGGAAATAACTATTTACTTTATTTTATATTTATTGATAAATAAACCAGTTCTAAAATCGTAAATTTTGCCTTTATCATAACAAAATGAAATGTACAATGAAACAAATGTAATAACTAGATTGTATATGATTCAGTCATATTGTTTAGAGACAAATGTGTTCGTAAGAGTGATTTGCAGTAGTTGAAGTTTAAAAGATAGTTAGAAAGTGTTTGTTGTTCAAATATATCGTTTATATTCATTCTCATAACCAATTTTAGTCATTTTTCCTTCATAGTACACATCTAATACAGTTTATTTCAAATCTATACTTTTGAATTTTTCAACTATCTGCAACATGAAAAGATAAAGATGGTAAAACCTTATCATAACTACATTCTAAATGTTTTGTCATACTAAGACCCCCCAAAAGCCTTAGTTTTCTATAGCAATGACAAAGGCACATAACCCACTGACATATTAGTCAGATTTCTTAAAAATTCATTTTACAATAGACAGATTTTATTGAAGTACGGTTAAGTGTCATAGATGTGAATTTTATTTTGAAAATCCTATAAAAAGTTGAAATTAAGCTGTGAAACCTAAGCATTCCGTGTATTATCATTATTCGAAATTTACCAAACACCATAAAGTCAACATTTAACAATTGGTATACTACTTACTATTCTAACGAAAACTAACAAAATAACGACCTAGTGCTTTTATTCAAATTATTAATTTAGAACCACGTATATTTACCGTTGATTTTTGATAGCAAATAAAATATTTCTTGCATTTACAATTATTAAGAAATGGATAAACTGGAACACAATCATCTCTGTTGGGAGTTTTCAGTTCCGATAATGCAATAAGAAGACGAAGTTTATCAGAATTATGTGATATATTTGTACAATACATACAGTTCATCAATTTCTAAACAGGCGATTGAGCAATATTTGAAAGCCCCTATTTAAATTTTAAGTAAATTTTGGAAAGTTTGTTTCACAAATATCGACTGTCATGATGTGATTTGATTATAGTTATAGTACAATATGAAAATCACGGATGAAATACTTTTATTCATCGTAGAAGTGTTTAAAAATAATTTTACTGTAATAAAAGAGATTTACAGTAGTAAGGGTGCGAGTAAAAAAACAGAGAGTGTAATAAGCGTGAGTGAAAAAGGGAGCGTATTAGTAAGGACAATCATTGAAAAAGAACATATTACTAAACGCGTGCCAAGTTTTATTTATTCAAATGCATGAGTATAGAATTGGCACAAAATGACAACAAAAAATATATGTGCCACATAATGAAAGTGTGAATATAAAAAGATAGAGAAAAAGGTGGATGTAATAAGAAAACAATGAACAAAAACCGATGGACGAGAGTAAAAACAAAAGTATTGTTAATAGGTGAATCCGTTGAGGTGAAAACAACTAGAAAGGATTCTTTCAACAGTTTCCTTTCTCTTATACGAAAAACGTTAAAGGAAATTATAGCAGGACTACCACAAGCTTATATTCTGAGGCATGTATGATAACGTCCCAAGTCATTGTGTTGAGTTATCTCTAGGATTTTGTTCAGCGAGTCGTGAAGGACCGACAGATTCCAGTCCTGTAAGGCTTTTTTTCATACCACGAAACTATGTCGTACACTGCCCATCCCTCTACTTTTTCCAGCTAGTCTCAGCATCGGAATATAATGCCTCCAACTGCACTGGTACGGCTAATGGTAGTGAGAGTTCCTAATCCCTTTTGAAATGCCTTCGTATGCTCTCTGTCAGAGAAGTCCTATCCCCTGTCTTCTTTCGATATGGGCGTTGTTTAAAAAATCGAGATGAAAGAATTTCTAGGGCATAAACCAAGTTGGTGTATATGGAGGACCCACCTACATCAACCGGAAAGTTCTGATTGCATACCGGTAGTACACATGAGCTCGAAGACCTTGAAGTGACAAATGGTGTATAAACCCATCCTTGGTCATCGGCTACCATGGGACTGAATCCCATAACGCTACACAACTGCCTTGTGGATTGTAACTCTAGGTCAAGGACTCGAAGAGTGATCTCCTAAGAAAACCAACTGGTTGGATTTAGACACCGGAGCGGTACCCTAGCCCACCAAAAGTTAAAATAATAATTACAACTAGATAAAGTGAGCACACAAAGGAAGAATTAAATTCTCAAGCGCGAAACCTGTTCGACAAACCCTATGTCTATTCGGCTCTATGATAAAAAAAGTCTTATATAGGTTTAATAGAGTCCACTTTCAACAAATACGGTGATTTCTCGAATATGACGATTTATTATTTTTGTCACTTCAGTAATTTTATTGCATACGTCTATTTCGAACATCTATGACATAATCTTTTTAAAGATGCTTGTAAAATGTTTGATGAACTTCACATAAAATGAGTTTGAAACGCTAAAAAGTCATACAAAATATTCATCTTTAAGTTTACTCCATACGAAATTGTCTTTTGAGCTCTATAGCAAAACTAAATGAAGTTCTATTCTGCAGATTATTGACATCCATGATAATACGAGTCAATTGACTAGGTTTACCTAGTATTAATTAAATAGACAAATGGAACTTATTAGACGGATCTTATGTAATCACTTTAATTAAATAAAGTATGACTACTAAGTATTTGTATAAGTCAGACTATTATCTATTCCAATTAAAACAACACTGAGCTTCGTGTTTAACAAGCAAAAAACGTCTAAAATTTCTTTAGGTCAATTAGCACATTTGGACATGTCAAATTTCTCCAGTTAGCCTGATACAATAGCATAAAAGTTGCTTCAAATTATCTGGAAACATTTTTGAATTATCATCTAATAAACACTTAACAGATTGCACTTCCTATACTTCAATTCTTTTACCACAACTTAATAGTTGAAGTTTCGGTATCATCATTAAGTATTTGATACATAATTTTACTAATAACTGTTTTAATCAATACAGACCATAAGTATTAACTGAAATGAATATAAGTAGGACGATTTTTGGCTAAAAACTAGTCACTGTGACCTAGACATATATACTCCACCAAACCACTACATTCTTACCAAATTTCGTTTAAATTATTTAGTATAAGATTCATTGTAAAATCTATATATAAAATGATTCTGTATAGTATTGAAAAATGTTGACAATCCATTCGTTATCGAATTTAAAAAAACACACGACTATTTGTGGTATAAACTACTCAGGTATTTATTAAGCTGTTAACCAAAATAGTGAAATAAAGAAGTTTACCAAGAATATACAGGCAACAGAAGCTGAGTAAATCGGTGATCTAAAAATTAATTGTTAAATTACCCGCTCAGTAATTTGTTAATGAACTCATAGGCTGATAACCAATCACGAGGCGAAATTATGTGTATCCATTAATAATTCTTGCAAATTTTTAATACTAATGTTCCAAAACAAAGTTTTTATTTTAATTTTAGCAATTGCAACTATTACATGAAAAGAAATTTCCCCAAACTTTAAAATGTAGAGACCACAAGATATTGCACACGTTTGTTTCACCTAATGTATTAAAATGTAGCCCAATAACAGACTACATATCTATTGGAACCTCTCGTGTATAGGTCTGAAGCTAGTTTAAAATAGTCAGTAGAAAATATCACGGAAAACAAGCAAATAATACATAAATATCATAGACTGGAAAACCTCTATCAATGGTTAGAACCAGTTTGAGTTGAGGATTTACAAAGTTTCAAATTGATTAAATTAATTCCAATTGACCGAAATATCATTGTAATGTAGATTCACTGCACTTCAATCGCTGGCTGAAGATAGCGAGAAGCTTTCGGTACAACATTATTATTGTTAAATTATTTAGTGCTGAGTTCTTAAAATAATGAACAAAGTCATCCGTATTTTTTTTTACTTGAAGTACGCACTAGAGACGTGGTGACAGAATTCCATTTTGATGTTAATTAATTGAAGGTAGTTAGCAATGTCGAGCAGCCTGGACAAGTGACCACACTGCAACTAAGAACTATGCAACCAGACACTGAACACTAATCAGTGATCAATGAATGTAAATATCTCAGTCTCTTCAAAAATCAGCTATTGTGAGGATAGCTCAGTGGTAACACCTCAGACTGTGAAGCTAGATGACGCAAGTTCAACTACCACATGCAGCAACAGTCCCCATCAACATAGCGGGTAAATGTTGCTGACGAATTTTAACCAGCGTAAAACCTAGATTCATGGTTTCCTACTGCCTATCACCCTCACGCCAATCAACTTGATCTACAGATGATCATCAAAATATATACTATACCTTAATAATACTTTAAATGTTTTCTAGTAGAAATGAAAATCCTCCAATTATTCAAACCAATACCTGTATTTTTCTCGAATTATTATTAAATAACTAACAGAAAAGAAAAAAAGTACACAAAATAAAAAGGCAATATTAGAAAACCATTATATACAAACAAGGAACTAAAGAGTAAACAAATACAGACAAACTGAAAAAAATCCTAAGAAAATATTGGTTATAAAATAAAACAAGTAATAAATACTCGATTAATTAGAGATCAATATCTAGATGAAATGGATCATATAAGATTAGGAGAAAACTGTTTATTATATGTATACAGAAGCAGAGGCAAAAGTGAACTTGTGATATTCTTCAATTATCCACAAATGAAGAAATCGACTAAAATAGAAAAAAATATATTTACTCATATAATTTACGTTGTTTTGTTGGTAAAGTAAATAAAAATACTCAGAAAAAGTAATTTTATTCTCGAAATACAAATATAAATAGTAACTGATTATGGTGGGAAAAGCCATGTAATCTGTAATAAATGTCAGTAAACTAGACAATTTACAGAAATACCTTTCATATTTTATAGTTCAATAAACTATTACAGTGATTCGAGATAAGAATTCCTTAGTATCATATCAGAATACGATTTCAATGATTGTGTTTATTTGAACTTGGAACTGAACTCGTGTTATTATAAACGAATAATTCTTGATAAGATCAGTTCTTCAAACCCTTTATTAACAGGTATATTTTCCTTTTGGTTAATACTCTAGGTTACTGACTTATATGAATACAAAAGTTTTGTTTTATGGGGTTTGATTTAACCAATAATCCACACTTTCTAATGTTGTAAACACTAATCTTTACAAAAAGGAGTAAAGACTGGATAAGAAGCTTTATGCCAAGGCCTGAGTGACTATACTGAAAACACATAACAGTTTACAGATTGCTGCAGTGACTTAGGTGGGAATATGTGGGGGGTGGGTAACATTAGCTAGCTGAACCGCTAAACTGCGAACACTCATCCCTGGCCTATTAGTAGCTTTGAAGCAAGTGGACTGAGTCATGTTGGTAGGTGTAGGCTACCTGGTTGGGGACCGCGAGATGATAGCAACCGATGGTTAGAGACCCTGAATGACATGGCTCAAAATCGTTTGCAATGGCGCAGGTGCATAAACTCTTTGTGTTCTCCCAAATTTTGGTCTCCTTATTCCTCCTTGTCTCTTTTTTTCTCTTCCCAAATTTGCTTCACTGTATTATACTCTTTAAATAACATCTCCAAACACTAACCTTTCCGATTATTGCTTATACTCTTATTATCTCTACCACTACGGTATTTGAATCGACCACTGCATCTCTGTGCTAATGTTGTGTGGCAACTCAAACTGATGTACGTACGTACGAAGTTCTACGCTGTTACTGACTGACTTGAAGCAATATATAATGTATACGGTTTGGTTGGAACAATACAAAGCAATCTCATGAAAACAATTTTTTTAAGAATGTAGCATTCCACTTCACGTGCACGATTCCCCAAAGAATATGAAAAACTACTTCAATGTAGAAACAGCCCCAAAGAAATAAGTAGTATTTTCAGTAAAATAAAAACAGAATGTCTTTAAGTTTCGTTCTATGTATTGCAATACACAGTCGATTACATGATGCCTATTTTAACTATAAACAAACTTAAATGCAATGTATTAAACTACTACATGGAAGATGAATGATACTTATTTGCCGATATATTTCAATTATTATGAGTACAGCCATAAAAAATAACTGAGTTAAAAAATATTCATAGGGAAAAGAATTTAACGACAACCTTGGGGAAATGTTATAGGTTGAAAAGCTGGCAGTTATGAGCTTTGTAATTATAAGACTAACAAAGGTAGTTTAAAATATTAGCTTGAAACAATTAACAGGGTGACATTACTGAGATCACAAAGTTAGATATGCACACCATTGGATCCTGGATCAGTGGTCTAGAAGTTACGTGTTCGCAGACGAGATCAAAGGTAATGGGTTCGACTCCCGCCTGCGAAGTCGTGGATGAGAACTGCTGAAGATTTCCATGCTATGGAAAGGCAGCTACCAAGTTCTTCCAGGTTCTCAATGGTCGTCTGAGTCAGGTCGGTTTGTAACGTCAATAACACACAACAATCACCATAATCTGTTTTCTGATACCGGGATAATAGTTGAAATTTGTGCTCCGAACTTTTAAGCAGATGAATATGTAGAAAGTTCTACTTTTTACCAACAATTTATTGCTTCAAATAGTTGGGAGATAGCTTGACTTATCTTAATTTTGGATTAACCTGTTACATGGATTATCTCATTCATTCTTTATGACAATCAGTAAAAATTTTTTTATTATTCTGGAATTCGCTACATTAAGTAAACACTATCGATCGGCTTTTTGTCGGTTTTACATAATCGAAAGACTTTTCATGAAAATTGTGCTGAAAAGCTTTATAATATCACGGCTATAGTAAATTAATTATTAGTGTAGATTTAACTGATAGTCACACTTTTCCAACTTAGATATCACTTTTATTCCAAACAAATTAAGTTAGAAGAATTTCACTTATACCACGACACAATTACTAACCTTTTATTAATTAGGGAAGAAAAGATAGTCGGAATTTTTTTGATTTACTGTTGGCAATTTGTATTTCTGGAAGTAATTTTTTGAAACGGTGAAGCGGATGGGATTATTGACGTAACATTTGATGACACAGGTTGCTGTAGTTGAGTAGAGGCTTCATCAACAATATTGGAACAGTCCTGTGCTGCAGTATCATCTCCAGTAGAATTCGGAAGTGAAGAAGATAGATTAGTACACAAGTCATGATACTGAGAGAAGAACTCAAGAGTAGTTTGACTTAACTGAGATTGGTGGTGATGGTGATAATAATTTACAGGAGTAGATGGGTGTTTCGGTGATGTAAATGGAGTCGGAAACTTATGAGTAGTTAAACGAACAAGAAAGGCTTCCAATTGACTTAAAGTTAAAGCGTTATGTAGTGTTTCCAGGGGGTACACTTCTGGGACACATGGCGCACTGGGAACCAAAAATTCTTGAGAGCTTCCAGCTAGTAATCATAAAATTAGTAAATAAATTGAGATATAGTAGCTATAAGATGTTTGTGTGGAGATTATTAGTAAAACCATTGATAACAATACTCTTTTAGAGTTTAGAAAGAAAATAAACACGTAACTGGAGTTTAGGTCAAAGGTCATTTTAAGCTACTCGTCTATTCAATAAAAGATAAAGCGAGAGGAAAATAAAAAGAATGTTAAAGAAAAAATTCCGCATTAGGTTGTGAGGGATTTATTATTAATATGGAGAAGTGTATTAGCGAACCAAGAGAGTACTCTGAATTTATGTACTTTAGAGGAGGTAAATAATCCATTTACTTGTTAATCACTTAATGAAAGTTTGTTACATATACTAAAGTAAATTAACTCAACTATAAATCAGACATTTGTGTTTGTGATGAAATGTTATGTTATCCAACAAGGCTGTTTTAAGTGAGCGGGGACCATAGTTAAGATGTGAGACTAGATAAATGAAAATCAAATGCTTTAACTGTTACTATGTATGATATCCACGTGTATTATTGAATAAATACGGATATGATAACTAAAAACATTGTTGAATGGGAACTAGTGGAATCTTAAATGATTTTTATACGGAAGGGATATTAAATTTTGATTTAAAATCTATTACTCAAACTAATTACTATTGATATTTATCCATTTTCAATAGGTTTTGAAATTCAAATAATTCAAACGATATTTAAACATGATATTGTGCTTGAATTTAGCTGGTTTCTAGTAGAAGTATCTATTGAAATCAAGAAAAAGTTAAAATTGGAAAAAAAATATTTACATACAATAGAAATATAAAAAAGCAACTGAAAGGGAACATACAACTTCTCGTAAGTTACGGCAGATTAAAATGTGATGTGTTATAGTTTGTTTGAAATACACGTTTTATAAATCATACGCACTATTAACAAAACCCATGAAAACACAGATATTTAGAAGAAAATCACAGTAGAGCTGTCATTTAATTCATGTGTGAACGCGATTAGGCCTAATGTAAATTTCGATGACAAAAACACTCATTGTTCTTATCACTGTATGCACAACACCAATTTCTATCTAATAATCCATGAATGTAACTAGACAAACTGGACTTCGCAGATGACCTGGTCATTCTATCCCATATACACGGAAAAATACAAGTCAAGACAACTAGTGTGGCAAAAGCCTCTGCATCAGTAGACCTCAAACATACACAAAGGAAAAGCAAGATCCTCAAATACAGCACAGGAAACATCAACCCAATCACACTTGAACGAGAATCGCTGGAAATGTGGAGACTCTGATGTACCTGAACAGCATCATCGATGAAAAGGGGGATATGATGCAGACGTAAAGGAGAGGGTCGACAAAGCAAAGGCAACATTCCCACAACTGAAAAACGTATGGAACTCAAAACAACTGTCAACCAGTATCAACCACAGAATCTTCAATGCGAACGTCAAAACAGTTCTACTGTACGGAGCTAAAACTTTGAGAACTACTACAACCATCATCAAAAAGTACAGGTATTTATAAACAACTGTCTACGAAAGATACTTAATGTCCGTTGACCGGATACCGTCAGTAACATTTTACTGTGAGAGAGAACAAACCAGCTCCCTGTTGAAGAGGAAACTGTGAAAACACCCTCGAGGTTGATAGGACATACACTGAGGAAGCCACCAAACTGCGTTACGGAAACAAGCCCTAATATGGAATCTCGAGTGGAAACGGAAAAGAGGAAGATAAAAGAACACACTACGCCGGAAATTTCAAGCAGATATGAAAAGGATGAATAGCAACTGGAAAGGATTGCTCAGAACAGAGTTGTATGGAGAATGCTGGTGGGTGGCCTATGCTCCTTCAAGAGGGGTAACAGGCGTAAGTAATAATCCAGATAAAAAAATGTGGAAGTCGCGTTTTTCGGTAGAAAAAACAATAAAAACAAATAGTTAAAGTGAACAAACCACTTACGTGTTAATGTTCGTGGTGCCACGCTTATATCTTCTGTTAATCTCTTAAAATCAGGAACACTACTAGATGCTTGGCTATCATCACGTGAACCACGTATAACCGCTGTACTTATAAGACTTCGACATATTGGCGGTGCAAACGGCGCTCCCGTGGCAACAGCTAAAAAAAAGAACAAATAGTGATGAATAGTTTTCATTTTTCTCGTGTATTTGCTTCATTTTATTAGATGTATCTCTAGTAACCCTTGAATATAACTATCAATTATTTGTTTGGACAATCAATTGCTATAAACAGGAAATGATGAACTATTACTTTGAAACTTGAGTTTGTCTGAGTTAATTGAAATGCTTCTAGCAAATAGCTTGACAATTTTTATGCTGATAAATTAAAAAGAATGAAATTGTACAACAACTTGGTGTTTAGTAAGTAAAACGATAAGGCTAACTTGAGGGAGAAGGTGCAGTGGGGCCGTTAAAAAAGGGATATTAAAAGGATAAAAAACTTAACGAACCTATTTAGTAAATTACCAACAGAATGAATGAAATCTACAAGAATACAAACAGATAAAGGTACACGATGAAAATAAGCTAAACGAAATAATCTTCTCAGTAAATGAGTATATGTATATGTATGTAAGAAAACTAATTGCTTCGGTTTGGACGCCGGGGAAGTATCCCGGCCTTCAGACAAATCGAATGACGAAGTGTGGCGCGCATATAATTGTTGCCTCCTTGTACCAATGTTTATATATCTGAATAAATAAATAAATATGTTGATACATAAAACAATTTATCGATCTATCAAACTGGGAAATTTGAAGTCATTAATAGAAAAGGTTAGAGATATCCCTTTGTTGATATTTAGGAATGGATTTTGACCAAACATAGATGGTACATGTGCATCTTGAGCTGACTGGTTCTATAGAACCGGTAATAATGTATATATCATACCCGTTGAACAAGGCAATGACTAGACTAACAAGCTAAGTTTTTGAAGTGTAAAACACTTAATCTATATCTTAGTGTTAACAACACTGGAATTCAATTACATTAAGCTGATAAGTTTTAAATAACGTCTGTCTTGGATAGCACTGATAACCACAAACTTATTTGTTCTAGAGTATCAAAAAATTTAGAACTTTTGCGCGCTAGTTTCAAAAAAGGCAGTGATTTTTGTACTTGTTGTGATTATACTTGCTTTTGGTACTTATTGCACTAAAAAGCATTCTTGGTCTACTTTAACTAAGAGTTCTTTGGTTAAAGTTTGAAATTTTTTACTAAATTTTGTCCTGAGTACCTGTTTTTAGTCCTTGACTAACACTTGTGTTCACATTGTTATCATTTTTTGTTTTTAAACCTTTTAAATCGAATTACAATGGTTGGTAAGACTCACAAATGTGGGCAACCAAATTGTTTGTTCTCCGTTGAGGAGGGAATGCAGTGTGACGACTGTAAAAAGTGGTATCACAAAATGTGTACACGACTAAGTCCGACGGCTTACAAAAGATGCTCGAAGCCTAACTCGCATTGGCTTTGTATGTTCTGCTGTACGGATAAAAAGGTACTAATACAGGAGGCTATGGGCCTATTGGCTTTGGCCTGCAAGAAAAATGATGGCGGAAGCACTGATAACAGGAGCACTGACGATGAAGAATGTGTCAGTGTAGTAAGTGCTGCTACTGGACCCATTAAACACCTGACTGCGGTTGACGGGAACGTGAAATCTCCGTTGACATTAACGAGAAATGAAGTGTCGCTTGATAATGACATCGGCAGTCATACACCTCTAGTCGAAATAGAAGATCCGGATAAAACTGTCACCGTTCCACATAGTCCAGGTGTGGCTGTTCTGAGTGGTGACAAATGGACTTCGGTAAGAAGAAAAAAAATAAGAAGAAAAAGGCTGTAGGCAAAACGCAGCTGGTCAGCAAAACATTGGAAGGGATGTTATCAGAAGAAAAATCCTCACCGCGTGAAAAGACAGATCTCTCTGATAGATCAGTCATTTTTCATAAGATAAGAGAATCTTCAGATACTGAACCAAAGGCAAGATTTGAACATGATCTCAATCATATTAAGACATCATTAAGTAAACTACTCCCAGATACAGTTTCAGGAGTTAGTATTTGTAAGCTTTATAGAATAGGAAAAAAGGTGGATTCCGAAAGTCCTCAGAAAAACCGCCTCCTAAAGGTTACATTCAACACGGTGGAAGAAAGGAACCTGATTCTAAGTAATTCACGTAAACTGATTGGATCCGGAATATATGTCCGTGAGGACCTCAGCCTAGCTGATCGTATTAAGAGAAGAGCTGCAGAAGCGGAAATAAACGAGCGTCGCCGAAACGGTGAAAGAAACCTCGTTCTTAAGGGTTTTCAGATTGTAAAAGTTCGGAGCAAAACGATCCCCAAGCCACTCTGGGTGGCAAGGGAAAGCTCTCCACAGACTTAAAAGTGTGCTACACAAATGCTCGCAGCCTACTAAATAAAATGGCGGAGCTGAAGTCAGTGGTGGACAAAGAAAAACCGGACGTTATCGCTGTCTCGGAAACTTGGTTAACGTCAGAAGTATTAGATAGTGAAATCCAATTGACTGGTTTCATAACCAGTAGGGCTGATAGATTAAACCGAAGGGGAGGCGGGGTTATTTGTACACCAAAAGTACCCTAACCATAAGATTAGCTGAGACAGTAGCACATGTTTCAGGGACATGTGAACTGGTGAGATGTAAGTTGAAATGCCGAAGGCAAGATATTGAAGTAGTTGTAGTTTATCGCAGTCCAGAATGTGTAGCAGATGATTTTCTCCTTAGTAAACTTAAGTCCTGGTGTAACAACGGTAAAAGCCTTGTAGTAGGCGACTTTAATGCACCATATATAAACTGGGTTAACTTAGAAGTAGGGTCATCCATATCGTCGTTCGACTCCAAACTGTTAGAAACCTCGATTGGACTAGCATTATTCCAACACATTAGAGATCCCACAAGATACGACTTAAGAAACTCTTCTCTTTTAGATTTAGTCTTCACACACGGTGATGACGTTGGTCAAACGGCTTTTCTCCCACCACTTGGGAGAAGTGACCATGCAGTCATCTTATTCAAATTCATGGCTGAGATTGCTTGTCAAACAATTGCGCCGGCCCGTCCTAACATATGGAAGGCAGATATGCAGGCAATTAACTCCGCAGCATCGGCTGAGAACTGGGAAATTGACTCAAAGGCATCAGTACAAGAGGCATGGACTCTATTCAGGCAGTTATACAATCGGGTAACTCAACCATACATACCCTGGACTGTCCCAAAGAAAAAGAAGCACGGACATCCCTGGATAGGGCGGGATATTCGACGCTTACTAAGACAAAAGAAGAAATGCTGGGATGTTGCCATCCGCCTTGGCACAGCGGGTACGATGGAACGTTACAGATCGATAAGAAACGAGTGTATAACTAAAATTCGGGAAGCGCAAAGAAAATATGAAATGCAGCTGGCAGAATCTGCACTCAAGCAGCCCAAGAGGATATTCTCGTACATAAACTACAGAACAAGGATTCATCATTGGATTCCCAACCTAATTAAAGTAGGAAGTGAATCTGAAATGATAGAGGAAGATCAGGAAAAAGCTGAGGTTATGGCTGACTACTTTGGGGCAGTTTTCACTCAGGAACCTCCTCTAGAGAAAGAACCAGACCCAATTACAGAGTCAACAAACCAGCTGCTCACCGTGGACTTCGACCAAAACGATGTGCTTAAGGCTCTTAGCACCCTAAACATGGAGAAGTCAACAGGACCAGATGAACTACACCCTAAAATCTTGAGACATATTGCCCAATATATCGCAGCCCCACTGACTGTGATATTCAAAATGTCACTTGACCAAGGTGTGTTACCTATGGACTGGAAGGACGCAATCGTCACTCCCATACATAAAACAGGTCTACGACAAGTTCCATCAAATTACAGACCCGTAAGCCTCACCAGTGTTGTAATTAAAATACTGGAAAGAATAATCAAACGGACCATAACAGCATTTATGGAAACCAATAACTTGCTGAACATGGCACAACATGGTTTTAGAAAGGGTCTATCCTGTACAACGAACCTCCTTATAGCTAGGGAGCTCTGGATTAATGCGCTAGACAACGGAAACTCAGTGGATGTTGTCTACATAGACTTCAGTAAGGCTTTTGACAAGGTGCCAACTAATAGGCTGCTATTGAAGTTGGCAAACCTTGGTATTGCCGGACCTCTTTTAAAATGGATTAAGGATTTCCTAGTAGGTCGTAGGCAAAAAGTAAGAATAAATTCCAAGTGCTCCATCTGGAGACCAGTACTTAGTGGAGTACCCCAAGGTTCCGTCTTAGGTCCTTTACTTTTTATAATGTACGTTAATGATCTTACAAGTATAGTACAGTCTCCAATGTTATTATACGCTGACGATGTAAAAATTTGGCGAGTAATAACTGGAGACAAAGACGCATTTACTCTTCAGGCGGACTTAAATAATATGATAAACTGGTCTAAAGAGTGGCTAATGCCTATCAACTCGGAAAAGTGTGTCTACATGCACTTGGGGGATTCAAAGGTTAATACGTACAACATAGGGGATGTGTCATTACCCGTAGTCCGGTCTCATAAGGACCTAGGGGTGACAGTGAGCAATGATCTTAAGACGACGGCCCATTGCCGGGAGGTCGCAGTTAAGGGGTTTCGAACCCTCTGGGCTTTAAAAAGGACATTCACTAAGCTTGATACTACCATGTTCACCACATTATACACATCCTTAGTGAGAACTAAGTTAGAGAACTGTGTTCAGGCTGCAAGCCCCTGTTTAAAGGTGACTCGGACATAATAGAAAAGGTACAGAGGGCAGCTACGCGTGCAATTCCGGAACTCCGGGTTTATCATATAAAGAGCGGCTTGAAAAACTGAACCTCTTTACTCTGTCCTATCGCAGACTAAGGGGAGATCTAATATTGATGTACAGAATACTGAGAAATGATTTCGGACCTAACTTATTCTCTCTCTTTCTTCCCACTAGATCGGGACACCTCAGAGGACATAGCAGGCGAGTAGAAAAGCCAAGAACGAACAAAATACCCGTGGCATACAGGTTTTCACACCGAGTCATCAATACTTGGAACCTGCTGCCTGAAGCAGTGGTGTCCGCACCTTCAATTGACTCTTTCAAGAGAAGACTGGACACTCACAGAAGCATACTAGAAAAGGAATAACATAGGCCGTAGGCCTTCTCTCCTTACTACACAAATCTGAAATCTGAATCTGAACTACAAGTTAGTCGCAATGTTGTAGAATTGGTAAAACTGGTAGATACATACATTACATACAATTAGTATCAAAGTACTATTTAGATATTCACGTGATAATTTTATTTACAAAAATGTATGCCATCTATAAGTACATGAAATAAAATATTGATGAATGCATTTAGTATTTTATAAGTGTAGATGATAAAATAAAAGTTGGAACAGCATGCATCCATAAATGACGTGCAACAAACCGATATCAAATGGAATAAAAGCAAAAAACAAACTTGAAACCTATTAATGTCTTATACTATAATAGAAAGAAAATCTATCCATTATCATGCATAGTTATTTCAAAAACATCAAAAACCTATAGAAATATTCAGTTCGAACTTTCTTTTTCCGTAACTATACTACATTTGAGTATAAGAAAAACTAAGAATTACAAGTGTTTATGCTGTTGTTATACACATGATATTTTATTACTATAAACTCATAAAACATGATGAGAATATTTGTTAGGAAAAACAAAAACTATTTAGATATTCACCAAATAAGACTGTTTTGAAAGAATAACATACTGTTTTATATTCGAAGCAGACAAAACTTTACAAAATCAAAAGCGAACATACAAACGGCATTTCACATTAGCGTTATATGAGACTATTATAATTTTCAAAAGGGATTAAATGTTTTACAACGGTAGTAATTATATTTAAGTGATAATCTATAAAGTATCATTTACACGTTTTTATCTAACTGATATTATTTAGCATCACTTTGGTTATTTTTGTAGAGAAAAAAAATGAAGCACGGAGATATGTAATGGTTATATTTCTTGTTGTACTTTTTCCTTACAAAAATAAACATAAGGACTGAGAAACCTAACACAAACTAGAATAAACAAAATGTTGTGAAGCGATAAATAGTTAATATACTGAAACAAAAAGCTTCCAAGCGTAAGTAAGTAATGTATGAAGCCTTAAGAGCATCCACACTAATACGACAGTAACTGACTAAATATACATGAGAAATTATGTTCCGACTAACAAAAATAGTATGACTAATTATAACAGCTGATGATAAGCGAGAAGCAAACAATATATATCATCCTAATAACAATAAGCTAGTTTTAAAAAACAATTTTGAAGCAAAAACCGACTTTAAGAAAACCACTCACTGCTTACATTGAAAACCAGTAAAGGAAAACATATACTAGAAGTTTTCAGTATGGGCTTAAGGAGATTGTTGAATTTAATTGAAATTACAAACCAATCTAAGTTGGACAACCATTGTAAACCTGAAAGTACTAGACGGCCGTTTCTTCCTAGTATGGGAATCCCTAGCAATCTGCACCCATGACCTCGTAGGAAGGAATCTAACTCAGGACCTACATCGTCACATGAGGACGCCAAACAATTTTCGCAAAACTATGCTGAAAATTATCATGAGCTTACCAGTGACTAGCTTCGAGAGGGAACTTCCAAAATACTTGTAAGCAGCCGTGATCAATGGAGAAAATTCTGTTGGGTGTGGGAAAGGTACTCACTTAAGTCAATGGAAGATGGTCATGCGAAGCCGTGAATTGATTGAAGTTAGACTTGAACACAGTCCACTGATCTACCGGTCCTGAGTTCCATCCCCCGTTGCAAGGTCGTGGATGCATACGGCTGAGGAGTCACAATACTGGAACGAAATGGTTGTCCAGTACTTCGAGGCTTCTAGTTTTTACCTAACTTATATCAGTTCATGATTTCAATGCCATACTAGGAGCATGGTGAAAAATATGGTGACAGTCGAGAGTGAGTAAGATTTAAAACCACTAGAAAATATGAAAAATGTAGTGTTTCTTAATCTCTATGATTTATTCATTTCAGATATTATCTATAAGTACTATAGGTCAGATGTTTGAATACAATAGTTTAATTAAACAGGGGCCGTTAGTCCAGGTCAAATGAAATGTACTGTATCAACAAACCATGCACCATCTATTCAAACTAGAAACAGGCAATAATACAAAAATGATGCCAAATGATGTTACGCGAAAACAACGAACACTGTATAAATGAAAAGTGATGAATAGAACATATAATTTACGGGCTGCAGAACTGAAACGTCTGTAGATCTGTTCAGTTTCTAAAATACAGATGAAAAAGATTCCAAATTGTGCAAGTATACACACAATTCATCTAAATAAGATGACAGTATACTGTATATGATTTGGTCGGAATATAAAGTTAATGGTATTTCTAACTAATAAAACTGACTATTCTTTATCATAGTATGTACTGGGAGGTGACTCTATCGTAACCAAAAAACAAGATATTTGCTTAAGAAATAATAACTTGTAATTACATTAGTCACAGTTAAAGAAAAAGGTATGTAAGTAGAATATTGATTAAGCTGAAGTTGGTCGATAATGCTGAATATTTTATATATAGATGAACATTAGTGAATATCTCTAAATAAAGAATCAGTTGGACCCATACATTATAAAATTATTAAAAAAAGAAAATATTGCTCAACAGAAAACAACAATATAGTTATCAGATTTTTTTTCGAAATATGTTTTCAAGTATCCTTTCATGAAAAGAATAACTGGAAATCTTTAAACCAAACAAAATGTTTACTGCAGCAAAATTCTGTAACGAAGATAAACCAAATTATACATTCAGTGTAGTTTGAAAAGTAATAAGCAAAAATTTTTTATTTATTTGAACACAAACATTGGTACAAGGGGGCACCGAATACATATGCGCCACACAATAATAATGAGTCCAGTAGTGATTATAATTGACTTGTGTGAGGGCTGGAATATTAGCCGGGTGCCCAACCAAAGCTAGTGGTTTTCTTAGAAGGCCACAACTGGAGCCTCTGACCTAAAGGTCTAATCCACAAGGCGGTGAAGCAATGTAAGGAGTTGCACTTCCATGGTAGCCGGTGACCAACGATTGGTTCATACGCCATTTGTTCCTTCAGGATACTGGAGCCCATGTGTACTATTGGTTTAAAATCAGGGTTTTCCAACTCTCCTAGGTGGACCTTCTGTTTCCACCAAACCGGTTAAAGCGCCAAACATTCGCTCTTCATTCTCTCAATTTGGTAAAAAACACCCCACCACAAGTAGGCAGTGAGTAGGACTTTCTTGGTAGTGGCTGTACAGGCACGGTCATGTGAGAGCATTTCGAGAGAGAACAGACTCTCTCCACTCTCGGTTGCACAAAGGCATTTGAAGGCAACGTGGTATGGTATGTGATATATATTTATAGGTACTGCTAGCCAGAGCATTTTGAAGAAACATTTCATAGCAATTAGCTGACTGACAGAAATATAACTAGTCTATGGATTTATGTAAAGAACATAAATTTTCTTAGTAAATTAATGAAATTTTAAACTTTTTAACACTAATTAAATTGAATGATAGAGATAGGTTATATCCCTTTTTTTTGTTATAAAACATACCTCTTATAAGACGTCCAATATCTAAATGATATGGACTTTGACGACTAGGGTAAGTGATAGCATTCAAAGTTTGGTTGATAACAGGATCATCATCTACACCACTGTCAGCCCCAGATGATGACAAAAAATTGTTGACTGGTTGAGAATTAATTTGATTAAATGGCAAATCCATTGCAAATTGAGTCGATTCGTTGGGACACACCGGTTCATCAGAAGGAAGTGGAGTTAAATGAGCTCGAGTAGATGTGGAAGTTAAATCTTGATTTTTTGATGAATGGACAGAGCCTGTGCTATTATGTTGATTTATTCTAGTAGAATTATTTGAACCAGCCGAATCGTATACTAATAACGAAAACAAATTGATTACAAACTATTTAAACAGAGGTGGAATGAAATGTCAGATTAGAAAAAAAGCGGTAAACAATAAGATTACACGCTACCATACTTATTTTTTATTGCAGTGTTCCGCAAAAAAATATTTTCATAAATAAAGAATAAAGGTCAACGCCTAGATGTTGTGGGTCAATCTATGTTTGACGGCGTTTAACTTTGTGATACTCATAAAACATCAAGATTTAGGACTAATGTTTATCTTTCCTTTTGAAAAAAAGTTAGTCATACGTAATGCAAAATTTGGCACATATAAGTATCGATCCAATTTGTCATACTGCATTAGCACAGTGAAACGAAATTATCAAAAACTAAATCCTAGTTTAGAAGAAGAAGGATTAATAGTAGAAGAGACTAGGGAAAAAAGAAAAATATATTAGATTTCGGAATCAGGATTTGAGGAAAGAGAGTGAATGTACCTGAATCATTAAGATTAATTTTGAGCCGTATGATATGACGAGAATCAAGTCAAAATTCAATTGATTTACTAATTATGAGTTTTGTTCAACATTACTACAGTTATGATTCAATGTAATGATCATTCAGGTAGTATTTGATTGTTTTCCCAGTATAATACTTTCTTCTGTATAATAAACGATATTTTTGTATCCACTTGACATGAACTATGCTCAGTAAGGGATTTGTTATAACTGAGTATGTGTTTTAATCCTAATTATTAATCAAAATGGGTGTACAATCAATATATAAATGAGTTTATTTTCGACTAGGGTCGTCGTCGTGTTTTGGAATTAATAAATCTCCACTTACACCAGTCTTTGTGTTCTTACTTTTACGTCGTGGGAATTGCAGAGGTCCTTCGTTCTGAGTACAAGTGATAAGCGTTTCCAACATAACAATCAGAGACGACCAGATATAACAAGTAAGCATTCAAACGACAAGACACATCACCATATTATCTAATGTCTCCATCCACTAATTACGATATTCATATGAACCCAAACTAGGTAGCTTGTACTTACCCACATGGTTCAACCCATCTGTCAATGACTTCATGGACTGGTGCCACGGTTTGGTATGGCTACACTTAGCTTTCTTCCTGACTATTCCTGTACTAAATAACAACCATCAAGGTAGACGGCGTTGGGCACAGGTAATACATGTACAAACTATTGTAGTAAATGAAAATACAATGCCTCAGTTAATAAAACTGAATAGATACGCAGCAAGATTTTTCATGAAGAGGGAGAAAATCGCATCTGAAATATTCTTGATTATCTATTAAGTCGATCAGAAGAGTCTGTATATTGTTAACGTCATTAACTAAGTCAGCAAGTGAATATCTTGGTGGGAGATCAATTCCTGAGAAGGTAAACGGAGAGAAAGCTATCTCTAAAAGAATGTCTACGACAGAAATAAGGTAAATGGACAGCCTTGACGAACACCAATTGAGGTTGACACGTCTGACTTCAGATGGTCATAAGCTCTAACTCGACCCATTAGTCCCCGAATAGAACCCGTAATAAGTTGATTTATTTCTTTTTTACGCTTTTCAGTGACAGATAATGTTTTTGCTACCTTGACGTGATGGTCGGGCTTGCCTATCGTGATGAACCAATCGGGCTATACTGGCTGGGACAATTGTTCCGCAGCGTAGGTAAGGTCCCAAAAAGTACGAAGCTAACACGAAAATTACTCAAAAAAGGTCGTAAGTGACCGACCTCAAGCATACAGGATCCTAATGTGGTCATTCACTTAACCTCACCTCGCCAAAATGGAGAGTCGACGATACACCCTCCGTGTATTTGACGACCCGATGGCTAGTTCTCGTGGACTGACAGGTTTAGGCATAGCACTAAGTACGAGCTCAGAACAAACACCATTAGAATGGATCTCCGTTAACAGTCGTCCTGTATGCTGTTCGGCTAAACGGCTCCATAAGAACTCAAAAAGATGGGGACACGCGTCGTTGCCTTTTCGTCGTTTCTGCCTACACTTCCACTGACTGCAGCCCGGATCAAGTGAAGGATAACTTTTACAGAAAGTTTTCTGAACTTTTTCATAAAGCTAAACACTCAGACATAATACTCGTATCAGGTGACTTTAAGGCACATGTAGGTAGCTTAAACTAAGCAGAAAGACATTAAGATGGGTATTATAGTATTCCGGTTCAGCGAACAGATAATGGTGATCGCCTGCTGCAACTGTTCTCAGATAATCGTTTATTTCTAGTAAACTAATTTTAAACATAGGGTTGATATCGTGTAACATGGCGACTCCCTGCAACAAACCGACGATGACTCAAATAGACCATATTACCATCAGTCATCGTTGGAGAGGGTCGGTAGAAGATTGTCGCTCGTTCTGGAATACCTGCTTGGACTCCGACCATGCTCTAATACGGCTACGTATCTGTTTGCACCTTACTGGATTCAGAAAAGCCACACTAAAAAGAGCCATTAGCATTCAATTGAGTAATGAGAAAACCAAAAGTCTATTCCAGCAACAACTGAGGTCACACTGAGCAGTTCTGAAAACGAGGTTGACCCAGATGTTTCTTGGAAAGATACGAACAGCTCTAGAAACAGCAGTGACATTTACTAGTGATTTAAACCAAAGTGTTACAAAAAAACCAATGGATTTCATCTAAGTCTATTGCACTGATGGGTTATCGTAAACTCATCCCATCAAGTTCTGTATACGATGGTGAACGAAAGCAAAAGAGATGGAAAAGTCGGTGGCTGTAGGTAACACCAGACTGATAAAAAAAACTGGAATTAAGAAGACAAACGTGAGACAATCTCGGAAAACGACGACACTTATCTGCTCTCAGCCCAGATGTTTAGAACGATGGGTGGAACACTTTAAGGGGCAGTTCAGCTATCTTACACAACCACTCACCATTCCCAAACAGTCTGGATGGAACATTGAAGTAGATCCCCTACTCCAAATAAAGTTCAGAAAGCTATAGCTAATCTGAAAAGAAGAAGAGTAGCTGGTCCAGATGAACTAACTCCAGATGTCTTTAAGTATGATGCTCCAGTTTTAGCGATTAGGTTAACTAGTGTTTTAGATAAAATCTAGGAATTCGTCGTAATCTCATCTGATCGTCTCAATATATAAGGAGGGGTTAAAATCATCCTGTTGTAACCATAAAGGGATTAGTTTGAAAAATATAGCATTTAAACACTAGCCACAATAATTATCGGACACCTAACAAAGACTCGTGAACTGCAAAACTCCGAGGCATTAAAAGTAAAACTTTGGTTTGCATTTTTAGATTTTGAGAAAATGTTTCTAACAGTTTGTTATTTAAACGGATTTAATAATAATTAGTATTCCATCAATACGGTTAAAATGGTAATTAGTAGATACTAAAATTTCTTCATCAAAGGAAAAATGAAACCATTTCCAATAGCTAAATGCCGACGATTCTACTCATTATAAAAAAGGTGATTTAAGAAATAGTTTATTGAATGAGCGAATTAATACTCATTCATAACTATATGTATAACAGTGTTAATGTATCCGAGAAGCACAAATGTGTTAACTACACTGAAGAAAGGCTACGGAAACTGATTATAAAGAGAAGAACAGAATTTTATCACTGATGGGCATTATAAATGATTACTGATGAAAGATATTTTATTCATGGTGAAAATAAAATTAAACGTTTTCAAGTCAATTAAAGAACGTATTTTCTTAATTTTATTTTCGCATATAAATTTGGCATAATGCACACAGAGAGTTTCTTACAGAGCTAAAAATCTTTCTTAACAAGAAGTGGCAGATGCAAGAAGCAAAAGCAAGTAAATGAATAAGAGGAAAAAAGCTCTCATGCAACAAATTACTATGATGGTGAAATTGTCAAGAACAATCTCATGATGATACTTAAAAGAACGTATACTCACATTTACGAGCCCCCAAAGTTAGCCATTTCGGTGTTTCTCGAACTCTCTACAACCAGAAGACACGTGGGCAACAATAGTGATAATAATAATAAGATTACAATTACATAATAAAAACATCATAAAAAATGGATTAATAGTTGAAAAATAAACTTTTGATAATTGTCAAAAAATCATGTTGACAATAAAATAATAGTCATTACTGTAAAAATATATGCCACCCTAGTCATGAAACATAACTAAACAATTTATTGAATGGATGTATGAAATTTTGTCACCAAGCATAAATAGATACTTTGATTACGATGGGAGAGGAGACAAAAGTATAAAATAATCCGATATATAAATTCAAGGTTTCAATATTAAAATATAAGTAGATATAAACTGAAAGTGAGAGAATGAAAAGTAGAATCATTAGTGGAATTTTAATACGACAAGTATATTATAATGTATGAATCACATATCAAACGAATATTGATATAAATTTTATTAATATCAGATAGGTTTTGTGTAGTAATTTCAATGGTTAAGATCATGAGTCAGTTGAAGCTAGACCACCGTGGAAAACCTGGAAGCACTGAACGGCCGTTTCGTCCTATTGTGGGACTCCTCAGCAGTGCGGATCCACGACTGCTGAGGAGTCCCACAATAGGACGATAAACTTTATTCTCAGGAAAAAAACTTTATCATTATATAAGAAAATTTACAAGTGAAATATCTGTTTATAAAATATTTGCATCAAAAAGTTAGTCGTCATAAATTATTCATGACACTTTTGTTGACGCGACAATATTTCTAATCCTTTGACATTTAAGTTTACTAGGATAAAAAATTTTCATTGATAATAATATTCATGTTTTAAAATAAGTAGCTCACTATGACACTGAGAATGAACTTTTACAAATAATTTCAATCATACTATATCCAGCTTTGAATAGTATGATTAAACTACGTGTGTAAGTCAAGATTTTCAGATGTTTAAACTGTTTAAAAAAAATATTGTATTAAAATAATTTCATATAAAACGAAATAATAACTTATCTCTAAATATAAACCAGTAAATATCATTTATTTCTTACCTTGTCTTCTATGTTGATTGAATTTGATTTGTGATCCCCATTGTCACATTTTTCATCTGATTTCACTAAGTGTTCTGACTGCTTTGAAAGCCATTGAATTACAGGAGCGAAACGTGACGAATTAGTATTTGAACAGGAACATTCAAAAGACAGTTGTTCATGATAATCATATTTCTTAAACTCGCCAAAATCAGTAAGCTTACCTGTCGTTTGAAGTAGTTTTGAAATACATGAATATCTAGGTTTTGATGATAGGGTTGTAGCTAAATTTGTCTTTCTGTAAACATCAGGATGACATGAATTAGACCTATTACGGGCAGAATTTTGGCAGAAATTCGAACGTGAAAAATGTTTGAGGTGATATGTTTTTAGTTTATTTGTATACGGTAATGTCGACAATAAATTATCAGTTTTCGATTCATTTGGAAAAGTTGAACCCAAACCACTTTTATTATCAGTGAACCGCGTGACAGTAAATCGTCCAATACCAACTTCTGTATTTGACGCTGTAGGAGTCCCAATTAATTCTAGCGTAGAGGTTGATGGTACAGGTGATAATGGCAAAACAGAAGGACGACCTTGAGATTGCGATCTGTGGTTGACAATCAAAGTTTCTTCGTGATTAACAGTGTTTTCTCGAGAAACATTTGAAGCGAGGTTACAACGAACACTATGTGACCTGCGAACCGGACATTGCTCGGTAAGAGATGAATCATTAAAAGTCTCTGTTTGATTCTTACATAATTCATACGTATTCCTATCACTATCAAAACTCCAACGAAACAAATCTAAAGAATCAAGTTTTTTTGATACCATTGTTGTAGATTTACCTGAAGCTTTGTCGTTAGCGGAAGATCCCGAGAATGAACATTCACTTGAGTCAAATGACCCAAGATTCTGGTGATATTCACTACTTCGATCTGTTTGTCTACCACTATATTTATCAAACAGATCTTTCATGTCTTGTTCACTAGCAGGAACAATAGGTGTAACAGAAGGGATTGTTGATTGCGGCATTGAGTCAGAACTTCCTTTATCCACAGATGTACCGCTACTCATTACACTCATTTGAGAATTCAGACGCTATTTATTTATTAGTATGTAGTACATGAAAGATGTTCATCATACGGAATACATACATACAAAGATGCAAGAATGAAACATAGCAAGCAATAAAGCGAAATAATAAAACAGTGATATACAAAGTAAGCGTGAAGAGCAACACAGATGAGTACACATGCATAAACCCGTGCACACAAACAAAAGTCAAAAATTAAACAATTATACAAAATGTTTACGCAGACATATATATGGTATGAATCAGAGAAATAATGGAAGCAAAACACAATGCCGAATTTCATATTAAAACATTTTTGAGCAAAAATTACCCATTTTTAGGTCGTAAATTTATGAACGTACGTAAAACCCGTCAGTGTCCATATGATAGTGATGAGGAAGGAAATAAAATCAGGATGAGATGAAAAAATGGGGATAGTTTTATGAGACAATAAAAACTGACTGTGATATACAATATTTATTTGTTTAATATGGTAAGCAATAACAAATGCATAACTTCAAAAACAAAGTGAAACTATACAAGAAACAAACTTCATTTTTTACAAACTAGGGTATACACAGTCCAGCATATAGTTGAAGTTATAATGAGAATTAGACTACTTAATAAATGCATGAAAAAACAACGGCCTCAGCAAACAAAATATGATGATAACGTTTTGTTATGCAGAATAGGTGAGAAAGCTAGGAAATACCATTTATCAAGATACGGATGATGAAACATTAATATAACAAGAGAGTTTAATATATAACAATTACCTTTTCCTAAGAAATATATTATGGTGATTAGTGTTTTCACTTTGAAATTTCCTATTCACCAAATCCTAATCATCACCGATTACAGATAAATAATCTAACAATAAGTCGAGGATATTTCGATATCAGGAATTGGTTGATAAAAGCATTTCGTCGGAGAAGGTTAGTGTCATAATGAGACAAAAACGTTTTCTCTCACAGGGGATGTGTTAGTTGTTAACCTCAAACCCTGAACTCATCATCTTCAACAAAAAAATTATGCATAATACTCATCAAACAAAAAATGATCGACAACTTACTATTGTAATGAATAAATTCATACTGAATGTATTGAAAGGTGTTGAATTTTATTTATGATGAAGAACAATGGACTAATATAATAGAGCATACTAAAGATGCATCAGTCATAGAACATAACTTTTGTTGAAAGATATTCAGATACTGGGATATCATATGGTTATCCCAAACTGAATTATTTGTTATATATTATTATTTGAACACATAAATATTGCTAAAAAGGTGCACCGAATACATATGCGCCACACAAGTCACTTGACTTGTGTGTGGGCTGTGATAATGCCCGGGTATCCAGACCGAAGCAGGATCGTAAACTGAAATCCCTCAACTGCTTAGTATAAAATAATAGGCAACTACAAACAGCCAACAGTTTTCAAGAGATGACTTTATCGAAATTAGATACATAACCTCAAATCTACACATTATTTTATATCAGTCACTCATTTGAAAACAAGAAACAGCTATCTAAACTAAAAAGCCTCAGTATCACTAAAATGTCTTCACATAGTAATCTTAAACTGAGAATATTTTCAGCATTAACTTATGCCAGACTTGATCCTTTATAAGGTTTCCATAAGAGGTACACTCTGTGCACAGGTAGCTAGCAATATTTTTTGTGCATTATTTAAGAAAATCTGTTATAAAATGCAAAGAAAAACGTTTTTTTCTTTCAAAAGGTCTAGCGATAAATCATATGTGAGGTAAATAATAAAAACCTACCACCAATTTTCCCGATCGAAAACCACTCCCTTCAGGGAGATCATGGCATAATGCAAAAGCACCAGGACTAAAGTGTAGTTCAACATGGAATCGTTTTTCAGTTTTCGGTTCCTACGGTTTGAAATAATTTATAAAAAAAAGTGTTCATTGTTAATGCAAATGTCCAGAAACACAGAAAATTGACGTAAAAACTGCCACCGATTTGACTGGTTTAGATGTGTTTTTTTTAAAGAAAAACAAATGAAACATGGACAAAGCATTTACGACTGTTCAAGTGGTATCATTAAATGTCAGAATGAAGATAAACCCTTTACCGCTTGCAATTTAAGTGATAAAGTTTTTCCATAGTCTACGAAGACTCCAAATGATACAGCTTAACGTCGTACTGAGGGATATAACATGCGAGTTATTCTTGCTAACCAACATATCATGAAACAAAATGACACGAATATTACGTCAAGTATAATTCTCATTGGTCTATAGTTCATCATCCATGGAAACGTTTACAGTTATGAATTTAAACATTGATATTTGATGAAAATTACCATAATAATTGTCAATCCTGTTTAGATCATAACTCCGCCTGTAGCTCTCCTACAGATACTGACGGTCCCAAGCCCGGGTAAACGAGGAGGGTTGGATATAGGTCGGCAAATCCACCATGTAGAAAAAAAATCTTGCTAAAAAAAGGCTAACCAGACTAAACAAAATAATCCATTTAAACTCCACCCTGGGATTGAAGGAGGAAATATGACGCCTCAGGAAGAAAGCCAAGATTCTTCGGAAGTCATGAGGCCGATGACCCTTCAAAAAACCAGAGCAATAATTTTCTCAAGTACATTGAACTTTCGGACAAAGTGAGAGACCAGGGAAATCAGCCAAATAGCAACGAAAATGAGGGGATAGAACTTGGCAGTACTGGGAATCAGCGAAACCCATTGGACCCAAGCTGGACAACAAAGGCTAGAAACTTGAGATATGCTGCTGTACTCTGGTCACGAAAAGGAAAATGCTCCACACACTCACGGGCTTGATCTGTTGTTGTTTAAACAAGCACGCAATGCACTGATTGGGTGGGAATTTTATGGACCCACGAGCTTCTTCAAAAACGAAGAAGGGAATTACAATGAATGTTGTCCAGTGTTATGTACCCACCAATGATAGCTCTCAACAACAGGTTCCAAGCCTTACAGCATCTACTGAAGGAAGAAGAAACGACTATGGAGGACAACTGGAAAGGTATCAAAGAAGCATTAACTTCAATGTGTCAAGAGGTTATGGGCCTCAACAAGCATCATCATAAGGAATGGATCTCTATAGAAACACTGAACAAGATCAAAGAAAGGAAGAACAAGAAGACAGCAATTAACAACAGCCGAACACGAGCAGAGAAAGTTAAGGCACAAACTGAGTACATAGAAGCAGACAAGAAAGTGAAGAAGAGCATTAGAGCCGACAAGAAATACGTGGAAGAACTAGCAACGACGGCGGAAAAAGCTGCAAGAGGAGGAAATATGGGACAGCTTTATGATACAACGAAGAAACTAGCAGGGAGATATGGTGAACCAGAGAGACCAGTCAAAGACAAAGAAGACAGGCCAATCACTGAGATTTAAGAACAGATGTACAGATGGTGGAACACTTGGATGAACTCTTGAATGGGCCAGCTCCATTAAATCTACTGGACATCGAAGCAGCACACACAGACAGAAATCCGGGGTGCCATAAGACAAATCAAGAACGAGAAAGCACCTGGATTTGACAATATACCAGATGAAGCCTTGAAGTCAAACACAGAAGTAACTGCAAACATGCTCCACTTTCTATTCACGAAGATTTGGGAGGAAGAACATGTGCCGATGGACTGGAAAGAAGGACAGCTCATCAAGATTCTAAAGAAAGGATATCTGAGCGAATGTGGAAACTACAGAGGTATCACACTACTGTCAGTACAAGGAAACGTTTTCAACAGTGTTGCTGAACCAGATGAAAGATTCAGTAGACACCCAACATCGAGATCACCAGGCTGGATTCTGTAAGGATCAGTCGTGCACAGACCAAATCGCAACGTTACGGATCATTGTTGAATAATCAGTTGTGTGGAACTCGTCACTATACCTCAACTTCATTGAATATGAGAAGGCGTCTGACAGTGTGGATAGGAGAACATTATGGAAACTTCTTCAACACTATAGAGTACCTGAGAAAATCGCCAACATAATCCGGAACTCATACGACGGATTGATCCTGGTCCTACGTTGTAGCTGACTGACTGACTGACTGACGAAGGACTACAATGCTGACAGGTGCATTCTAAATAAGGACCAGAGTCAGACACGGTTGCCTAGTCCCGCCTTTCTGGTGGACCTCGACATCTGAGGGGATGCACGGAATACAATAGACAGCTCAGAATCAATTACAAGATTCGGACTTCGCAGATGACCTGGTCATTCTATCCCATATACACGGAAAAATACAAGTCAAGACAACTAGTGTGGCAAAAGCCTCTGCATCAGTAGACCTCAAACATACACAAAGGAAAAGCAAGATCCTCAAATACAGCACAGAAAACATCAACCCAATCACACTTGAACGAGAATCGCTGGAAGATGTGGAGACTCTGATGTACCTGAACAGCATCATCGATGAAAAGGGGGATATGATGCAGACGTAAAGGAGAGGGTCGACAAAGCAAAGGCAACATTCCCACAACTGAAAAACGTATGGAACTCAAAACAACTGTCAACCAGTATCAACCACAGAATCTTCAATGCGAACGTCAAAACAGTTCTACTGTACGGAGCTAAAACTTCGAGAACTACTACAACCATCATCAAAAAGTACAGGTATTTATAAACAACTGTCTACGAAAGATACTCAATGTCCGTTGGTCGGATACTATCAGCAACAGGCTGTGGGAGAGGACAAATCAACTTCCAGTTGGAGAGGAAATTAGGAAAACATTTCGCGTTTTCAATGAATAAAATGTTTGTTTTAACGGATTTCTTAATATTTACTATTGATAAATTTTCTGCATGATGTCCAGACGCAATTAATGATTAATGTAAAAATAAGATTTTATGTATAGTTTAATATTAAACTGTTTATTTGATTAGAAATAAATGCTTGGCATAGACAAGATTCGGAGAAACGTTATTTAATAAGGAAGTACACAGTATTCATTTCACTTAATTTAAATAGTCATAGTGTTTAAATGAGGGATGATGCTTATTAAAATATATCTGAAAAACATGTGACAAAATTTTATAAAAACAAGTTAAAAGGTTGAATTAGACAAACAAATAGTGATAATTTAGAATTATTAAGAGAAATTGAGACGATAGATAACGATTATTATATGTAAATAAGATTTTGTGTAAGATAATTCATAAAAAAAATACTTCTCATATTCACCCTAATCCTAAACTCATACTTGAGAATTCCCAGTTGTTTTTCAGGCCCTCATGAAGAAACATTTGTTTACAATGTGGGTAACTGGAAAGTGGTAACCACTTTCGGCTATATACACATCAACTACAGCACTCAATATAGTTACGCTTATTAATTGGTTTAGGATTGGTTAGTGTATTGTTAGTACAAATGAAATCTTGAGATAAAAATCAAGCAAAAGGTAAACAATATCTCATAAATATAGTAGCATAAGAACCATGACCTTTGACATATTTTGAAGTTAGTTAGTTGGACGTAATCGGCACGTAATAAGCAGATTTTAAGGGAATATTGCTCCTGCATTATGAAGCCTGATAGTTGTTTCATATTTTAATAAAGGTAATGTAATTTACAACTTACGTAAGGCCGAAATCGGTTGAGCCAAGCACATTCCATACAATATACTTTATATAATAAATAAAAATGATGTAAAAAAAATGTATAGTACTGCCTTAGAAAAGTACCCATCACTACTCCATAATCGATGAACACTTCCAAAAAAATGTTGAATACGTCAGGGTTTAATAACACTAACAAAACGACAAAATACAATATTAAAAAGTAATGCAATATATACCGCGGAAACTAACCACAGTAGGATCTTCATAAATCATAATTACAATTTGAGCAAGATAATTAATTTCAGAAATAGACGACACATACTCCATAGCACGTCTCCATTGTTCATCTGTTACAATGTCTGCTAATTCACCATATCTTAGACAAGTAAGTAATGAATGAATATGACTTTCACTAGTGAAATACAAGCGACTACGAACAAATCGTTCAGGTGAAGCAACTCCTTTTGAATAACTGGAAAAAAGTATTGTACAACACATAACACAAAAAAGTGAATAAGACGGCAGCATAAAATAGTCTCTTTATTTTACAAAGAAATAGTTACAACAAATGAATATTCTTTTTGGGAAAAAATGTTTGATATTGTTAGAAAACAATCGAGAAAAAAGACTTAACAACCATGTGTAAACTCATGTTCTAGTCTCTTTTTTAGTTTACTGAATAAGAACAACTTGTATTAATTAGTTCGTAGAATGATTTAGAATATAAAAAGAGCTTAAACTTGCTACTCACTAGTTTGAAATCTAGTGTTTTATATCTACTAAATCAACCGTTAATTCATACAATAGATTTTGGCTTACATAGCCTATGTCTAAATATATATAATACATCTAGTAATAGTGTTTTTTATAATTATTCCCAGTAATCTATAAGAATTGTAAAAAAATTACACAGAAATGACAAAAATATAACTATTGAGTAAATTACTAACCCAAGAATCTAAGATATTTGTAATGATATAAAACAGTTAGAAGATTACAGTGTATAATCTCACATATACTGAATAGGAATTCATTGTTTTTCTTTAACTTATACCTAAATAACAAGATATAAATCATTCCATTGCATTTTATGTAAGTGAATAATTATGAATGAAACATCAAAAATAAACTATGGGCAAAATTAGAGAAATTATTAATAGATATAAACAATTTTTTCAACCGAGTTCAATAATAATACAATATATTCTTGAAAAAAAAAAAACAAATCAATCAATTATCATTATAAGGAGAAAAAATTAACACAAAGAATTCCGTGTTAGTGGCCCTAAATCTGACTCCAGTTTGGTCGTATGAATGTTATTGAAATATATATGTCCCCTATCCTCGTATATAGTTATCGACTTAGGTCGCGTTAGTGAATAACGGAAATAAATAAGTCAAATACGAGAACGGATTTCCCAATACATATATTTTGTACAATCGTTGGTCGGAACAAATAATCAGGGAGACGTAGAGAAGAAGAGTGAAACGAAATGACGCGAAGTGGAGATGGCTCGTTAGCCAACTCCCTTTAACCAAGCGTTAATTAATATTTACAATCACATAAATAAGTTACAGACATGTGATGAATGGAATAGGAAGAGCACACACGTGCTCTCAGATAAACAGTCAAGGTTGATAAGTGAATGATTAACAGGGACAAAATGTGACTCAAGTAGAATGAATAGATTGGCCTGTCCGAAAGCTAGAATAAGGTATATGGGCTTAACATAATAACCAACACGACACTGTCAACTGTTGTTTAAATAGATTCGTAAGTACAGGGAGACGTAACTTATTAATATAAATATACAATATAATCTCAGAAATCACTCACGTCCAATTAGATTAATATTTTATTTTTAGGAGTACATAAAATAAATGAATATAAAATCTTTTCGATGATATCAACTTATATAAGTGGGTTTTTTTAATGTAAGTAGTTATTAAGTCAACTGAGGTTTGCCTTTAAAAAGTCAAAATATGATCGGGGCAACTACGAACATATTCTTAGAAAATACACAGAATTAATCAGCATGCTGGTGATAAAAAAAACCTTCAGAATAGAGATAAAATTGATCAGCTGAATGTTAATCTGACAACTACTTAGTCCTACTGAATCCTTTAAAGACATTGGAGAACAATTATGGTATATCATGAATCGACTAAATTTGTAGTATATCATTCAGTAAATTCACAAACAATAAATAAACAATAATTTTATATTGGGATTTAGACTACTGATGAGTTATGGAATAAAATGAAAAAGCAGTTAAATATGCCATTTTTTTTAGCAATTTTCCAAACCACACTAACAAATAGCGTAAATTGCACTTACATTGCATTAAATTCGATTTTCATGAATTACATTCACTCACACAACAAACCAACCAATCAGAATATCGATTTCTATAAATTTGTCCCTGAGCTAACCAAATGACACGCTAACTGGCATTAGTAGCCTAGTCACCGTTAAGTCCTCATTGATACTCGATTAGACAGCTTCTATTTCTGCCTGCCCGCTGAGTCCAGAAAATAGTAATCAGCCTACACTATGAGAATGCTATATCTCAAGTATACATAGTTTGTATACAGACACATCTGCCCACATCACAACATAAATTAAAAACGACAATTAAACATGATCAAGCCCAAAAAGGGCTATGAGTAGAGGAGGCTAAATAGTAAAATGGCAACAGAATAAGAATAGTAAACCTTACAACAGTAGTTAATAGATTAGTCAAAAGTCCATGGTAAAAGGAATATATATTATTATTAATATAACCCATAAATTACTCCCAAAAGTTACCATTCCTTTCATCTTCGTCAGTTATAACAATTCAAAATACCAATTTATCCAAAATCATTAAGGGAATCAGTTCTTTATGGTTATCTTGGATACTTTATTACCAACAGACAAGTCGATATTTTTCACCTAAACTTCACTTGTGCAAAATATATTGCAATTACAGTAACAATTCGTTCAACTTACGTTACTTCATAGTTCAAATTAATTAAATAAGTTGAAAATAAAATTCGCATTAATAGGATCACTTGAAAATTATTAGCTTGAAGTTTAACATGATTGACTAAACTAGAAGTAATAGCGACGTAATTCGAATTATTTTTTGTGATATATTACAGTGCAGTTTTTAAAATAAAGTATTCATGATATAAAGGAGTGAGACTACAGTCTTCTAATTCAAAATGATCGACTGAGCGATCAACAAACAATATAACATTAATAATTAATCAGACAACTACACTATGTTAAGAAAAGGACAACAAAAACTTGAAAGAATTATGAATGAATAAGGAAGAAGCTAAATAATAATCATCGAAGCGATCGTTTGTTTTTAAGAGACGAAAATGGAATATACATTTTAACCTATTAGTCAACTGGTTAACTTATATTTAGTATGATATAAATTTCTAAAATACTGACAGTCTAAAGAACTAAGTAGAGTAAGACAGCTACTGCCAAAACGATGTTATTTTTATATCTTGACTATTTATTGGTCTCTTTGATATATCAGTAAACTGTATGAGATGTAAAAGTAGTTGGATATTTGATAAATAGGACATTATTTGAATATAATATGGATAGCACTTTTTATATATCTACATTCAACTACATCGTGGCAATCAGGTTAGAATATAGAGACAATAAACAGACAACTCCAATCAATGAACTGGAAAGCACAAATTGAACCAAATCTAAACCTATTGATGTATTTATTTAGCAATTTTATTAATAATTAGTTATTAATGTTTATCATACGATAAATAAATTTAAACAGATTGTTTAAACTAGATGTACTTAAGGAGTCATAACTGCTACCTTATAAAGAATTAAAACTAAAGAAAACTAATTCGTAACCTATAAAAAATGAATATTATAATTTTTATTCACTATATGATAAAGTTAGTAATTTTGCAAACATGGCTTATATGGAATAATTGAAGTACAATCTCGACCAAACATGCAGCTTAAAGTAACACTTATTATACTTATCAATAAAGCTCATAGTGGAAATGTCATCGACATAATATCGTGAAGCTTGTTTCAATCAAAACTTGGAACCAAAAACGATGAAACAATTAAGGTTTTCACACATATGCATGCGTATGTATACAACAGATAAGAAACAACAATACATACACATATACCTAAATATGTGTTTGTGCAGTAAATAAATACAAAATATTTAATTTAATTGGTGCACATATAAAAACACAGTTGAATAATTAGGCTAACTTGATTAAGTTAAGTGATGCCTCGATAGGCCAGTGTTAATCAAATAAAAAGAAAAGTGGCAAAAACTAAAACATGCTATTATAAACACGACAAGGTCGAAACAAAAATCTTTTAAAAGTTATGAAGAGATTATATAATCAGACCCACCAATCGGGACAAGGTTCACCGTGATTTGGGCGATGGCTAGAAATAGATAGGTGAAGTAAAGCAAAAAAAGGGGTGATAGGATGCATGAGAATTTAAAAAAAAAGTGGAAGTGAGTGACAAAAGAGATTCGGAACGAAATAGCCAACCATGCATACATTTCGTTATGATAACTAATGTTACGGCAATGAAGTCCTAGTGCTAATCGAAGTCTGTCTGTAAAAAACCTTCTATGAAATTGACCAACTAATTTGTAGCACAGGAGTGGTCAGAGTGTGTTGGATTTGCGTTTCCAAATCATAACTGGATTCAGCTAAACAACCATTGAAGACAAAGAGCCATTAGTCAGCTCTTCTTAAAATAGGAGTCGTCAGGAGTGTGCACCTTCAACTCCACCAATCGTCTATGCCTAAAATCGGTCACTGGCAATTTAAAGAGTTACTATTGACAAACACTAATGTATCTAAAAAGACGGAGCAGAAATCTGAAAATTCATAGTGATCCCAATAACATAAGCTTTATCGTGGTAGTTATCATAAGTCTTCCTAGGGTTTGTGATGAACATCTGTTAGTGACTTTAACCAGTCCACAGGGTACAGAGTACTGAATAAACCCAAAAACAGAATGCCGAGACCCACCAGAAGTTAAATACAACGATAGCATACACATCGTTGTTTTCAGTCAAAAAATATATACATGGGTAAGTATTAATACATAAGAGGCTCTAATAATCAAAAGAGTTTTAGATTCATGGGAATAAAGGAAACGTCACGTTTATCCAGTCATGCCGTTTCAAAATGTGTTGAACCATAATTAAAGACAATAAACAACCAGTCCAGTTAAAATATGGGTAACTAATATGATGGGAAAGTGTAATATTTATGGTTTTTAGTCAGAACTCCAAAAAATATTAAACAGGAAGTTAAACAAATGACACTCATTTGTTAAGTCAGTTTTTAATAACCGAACATTCATATTTTACAGTCTAGTGCAAATATATCACTTGAGAATTAAACTGAGCTGTGATATGTGGTGAAATCATTTACTTTTGGGTAGCATTTTGAGCTTCCATTAAACCACATGGCTTTGGAGAGCCTGGGATTATAGCTGATCCTTACATGTAAATTGTGACTCAAAACACGTAGCCTAAACTGCTGTAGCTTGGTAAATAAATTTGGATTAGTTATAAGTTTCACTCAAAACTTATGAATTCGGAGCACGAAAATAACAGAAAAAAAGTATGAAATGAGCCTGAATATCAAAACAGCCGATGTAAGGAGGTTTCCTCATGACTAGAATCCTCATAATTAAATTTGTAAACTATAGTAACTGTTGACAAACTAGATATCGATCCATAAAACCACCTAAATCAAATCATGTGTAAGATGTATATCGACAACTCCACAGTCAACTAGCAATATGATTAGTTCTAAAGGCATGGTTAAACAAGATGAGGTAGATTAGAAATATAACAAGTTATGGAAAGCGAAATTAAACACCACATAGTAAATCCTAAAATAATAATACTAGAAAAATATCCTATTGAGGTTAAAATTTTCAATTCTCAGATAAGAAGGGAATTCTACTTGGAAACAACATTGCACTTAAAATCATGATTGCTTGAAATCAAACAGTAAAGGTCTCGGGGATATAGAGTCTGTTTAGAAACCATTAACAAGAGCTCATATTTAATAGATCACTCTCGCTAAACCAAACTAAAACATCATAATGTCTACCTGGAACCAAAGTGTATAAAATACCAATGGAGATACTATTAACAATTATATAAGACAAAAGCTAATAAATTAAATAGTTTATAAGAAGCAATATCACACCATATGATTAAAAAACTATGCCAACTTATCAATAAGTGATTGACATTTAAAAAATTTGAAATAACTTCAGTAAACAAACTGATTTTTGAATTTTTAGTGATATCAAAGACGACAGAAGACGCAATGCATCTGCAATTATTTATTAGTGGCACCATCAACAGCAAACATGGGGTGAATTAATTAAACAGAATGGCATTACTGAAAGGTGCATGTTGAGTACGTTGTTACAGATAATAAGATAGTTAAAAAAACGATATACAACACGCAAATTATTTATAAAAATGACTCAATTAATTACAGACAAGCCCTTAAACATCGAACAACAATGGTTTCAACAGCATAAGACCACATACACTGTTGTGAAAAACACTAAGTCACTTAGGAAAAAGAAAATTTCGACAACTTAATGGCTACATTTATTTATTGTCAAGGTATACTGATTCATATTTACTAAGATAAAAAAATAACTGAAATAGTGTATACAAATAGTACTCTGTAACTGAGATAGCAGAATATAGTAATGAGAAAAGGCTTATAATAACCAAACAAATAACAAAAACTATCGGAACGTAAAGTTGTTTAGGTATGCAATCTGTCCGAAAATAGTAAGGGACAATAAAAATAATCACAATACATATATACAAACAAATTAATGATATTTTACAACAGTATACGGTAGAGTACAGGAATCGGTAAAGCACGAAAATGATTTATTTCCAATGCCATAAAATGTATCAGTAAGCATGTTTATATGTTCTGAAATATGACATTTAGTACGCTGGTCATTATCTAAGCTGGATGATGAGGAATAAAACTGAAAATAGGTAGTTTGCAAATCGAGACTTGGAAATATAACATTTAAGCTGCTTAATGAAGAAAGGTAATATTAAGAGCGGTTGACTTTTTCCTAGGCTCAGATCATAAATGAATAACATGTTATTTCCAAACAAATAATCTACAGAATACTGTATTGACAGTTGTCAATAGAGAAGATAAACATTAAACAGATTGTTATGCAAAAGTTATAATGTAAATGCTCAATTAAACAGGAAAATTTTTTAAAGGTAGAATTGTATGTGTTATAAATCGCTTTTCTTACGGTTATGACCCAGCTATTCCTATTGCTTAGTATCCTTGGACACCGATTCACTCGACAAGACCCCAAATCAGAACACGGTTGAACAGGAAAGAGATTATATTCCAAATAGCAAGTCAGAAGCATAATAGGGGAAAACGTCAGTATATTTATAGTTTTTACATAAGAAGATTCCAGAATATTCTCCGACTATCGACTAGTGCTGATTGGATAAGAATCAGCCAATCAGCGTGCACCAAAGCAATCATGCATTGAGCATGCTTTAATCTAGTCTATGTCCCGCTAACACCTCCCCTCTGAGCAGATTCGTAGGATCTGGTGCTAGGGTCCAACTGCAACCGAGTGACTGGCCTGTGCTTTCGATTAGTCCATCGTCTAGGCAATAGAGAAGTATCACTCTTTTCTTGCACAGAAACTGACGTGTCCATTCCCGGCGTTTTGATTTCAAAGGTGTCTAGCAGAACATCAAGAGGTAATCGATATTGAATCTTGTTGCTGGCTATCGAAGTTGCTTTCAATTGGTTAGCATGACGTACCCAAACTTCCGAGCCAACTGACACCTCGTAAACCACACTCCCCTTCTTTTTCAAGATCCGACCAGCTGTCCATGTAGGATGTTTCCCACGATAGTCCATAGCAAGCACTTTTTGTCCCACCGTGAACAATCGTCTTTGTGCCCCATGATGTCGGTTAAACTGATTCTCCATCGATAGGTTTCGTTGGGGTTCAATAGCTGGCGTAGGACGGATGACATCGGAATGTGTTCGTATCTTTCTTTTCAGTTTTCCTAGTAACCTTTCACCTGTCTTCTTTGGAAGTACTGGGGTGTCCAATGATGAACACGATACGTTACAGACACTGTTAATTGGTACATCCATTATTCCAAGTTTGTCTAACATATCTAGACCAAGAAGATCAAGGTTCGGCCGTTCTGTTAGGTAACATATTCCTGTACAGTTAGTTCCATTGAAGGAAAATTCACACTGTAATTCACCAACCAGTTTTAGCACACCACCTGATGCGTTTTTAGCCGTTTTCTTAGATGGCTTCATTGGCGGTTTACCCAGCAAGTTATACGTTTCTCTAGACACTAACGTGATATCTGATGCCGTGTCAATTTGAAGACGAGCTGATATGCCGTTTATCTGGATGGTAACATACTTTCTCCGAATGTCATAGTTTGTTTGAAAGGCAGCTACCAGAGAAAGAGATTTCGACTCGGCTGATTTCACATGTCGAGGACGTTTATGCTTCTTCTTAGGCTGAGACGTACGCTTCGGTGGACAATGACCTTCTTTATGTCCACGTTTGTTGCACGCCTGACATTTATGCTTCTTGAACGGACAGAATCGTGCATAATGCCAATCACCGCATAACCAGCATGCAGTCCTTGGTTTGTTACGAGTTGTTACCGGCTTCTGAACTTTTAACCTAGTAATAGTATTTACACTACCGCAGGTTAAATTAGGATTTACCTGTTCAATCAACTCGTTGTCGTGTCTGATGCTTTGTAGACGCTTACACTCATCTGTCAATGTTCTGAGTGTGACGTTTGGGTCTTGATCCAGTCGAGCTAAAAGTCTAGTCCTGATTTCAGCATCTTGTGGTGACTGAAGAGCTTTGATGAATATTAAGCATTTAAATTGGTCATCAGTCAACGAGCGTAACTTGAAACGTTCACATTCTCTGTTGACAATGTCTGCTAGAACACCATATTCATCAGCTTCGCGTTTCACCAAATTTAGACACCGATATCGAATACTAAACAACGAGGATGACTCGCCGAATATCTCTGACAACTGAAATACCGTCTCCTCGAAACTGAGCTCTCGAGGTAACTTTGGCAATATATGGTCAGCAAAACGTGCATGTTCGTTGCTTCCCAACTTACGTACCAACAATCGGGTCTTCCACGCATCGTCTTGATTACAGAATTCTGTTCTAAATGTATCTTCCCAACGTCTGAACCACGTGAGAAAAGTATTTCCATTTTCGGGATCATAGATGAATTCTGGGATGCTGCTAGCAACTGCATCACAAGACGAACTTGAAATAGCGTGTGAACTCGAGCTGTGGATGTTGAGCTGTTGAGTCAGAGTCTCCAACAACCGCATTTGTGCATCAAGTTGTGCTTGCTGTTGTTGTAGTATTCGGTTAAGCTGGTCATCTGATATAGGCATCTTGAATTTGTTTTCCTTTTTCCCCGTCGCCACTGTTATAAATCGCTTTTCTTACGGTTATGACCCAGCTATTCCTATTGCTTAGTATTCTCGGACACCGATTCACTCGACAAGTCCCCAAATCAGAACACGGTTGAACAGGAAAGAGATTATATTCCAAATAGCAAGTCAGAAGCATAATAGGGGAAAACGTCAGTATATTTATAGTTTTTACATAAGAAGATTCCAGAATATTCTCCGACTATCGACTAGTGCTGATTGGATAAGAATCAGCCAATCAGCGTGCACCAAAGCAATCATGCATTGAGCATGCTTTAATCTAGCCTATGTCCCGCTAACAGTATGATAATCAGTTTCTAATTCAACCGTCATTGATCTTTATCTTACATCACATTTGCTTAAATAAAAAATTGTTCTCAACTGGCCTAGGACTTAATTACCTTTTTGGTCTAAACGTCTCCGAACATAAATCTACTAAAGTATCGAAATCACGGAGATTACTAAGTTTCATCTAGCGAAATTCTTATGGGAAAAATTCTAGACTTTCTGGACAAGACCTGTGTAAGGTTTATCCTTGAATACCGGTTTTTCTATTTGCATCAACTCATGTCTATCTGATAAACTAACAGTAGAAGGAGTTCTATGATATTTCACTTGGAAAGTACCTAAAACTGACACAGTAACTGACAATATATATCGAGGTGTGATAGCCTAAAACTCGAACTCCTATGGTTTACAACAAAACTAATTCTGTCTCATAAACTGAATCGAAAACTAACAGTTCTTGTTTAAACACACCTGCGCATGACTCGGGAAATAAAATATCTACAGCTGAAATGGAAAAATACAGGACGGGGACTTTTCTTAACTAAGTACGTTCAGACATAAAAATAGTCTACCGTTGGAAGCAAGATTGACGAGTAACTTTCATTCATTTGTTCAGTTGCTTAATCACAATCTTAATGCGCTAAAACTCTTAATATATGTAACTACCTCATCATCATGCGTGAGCATAGTCACCTCGCTAAATTTCCAAAAGAACATACAACATTTTACTAGCTAAATATCACACTACAGTAACAAAAGTAATGACATGAGCTTTTGGAGATGTATACACCTTAAAATAACCACGAATAATATCTCCTTTGCCTGTGTTTCTCGATTTTTCTATTTCCTTTACAGCGATGCGCTGGATCAATATGTTGTATTTAAACCACATTAGTTCCACAATTCCAAGTTTACTTATGTAGCAGAAGCAAAACGACAGTTCAATACACACGAATTATCTAGTATATGTAAGATTTTCTTAAACGGCTAAACAAAAATGGAAAGCTTACATAATCGTCTCTCATCATATCCCTTGATTATGCAAGGATCACATCGCTCACCTACAAAACTTTTTAGATGACTTAAGTAAACAAATAGTTGATTTCAACTCTTTATTGTTATATTTATTAATTGAAAATACAGCACTGGCTAAAATATATTCTTATAAAGAACCACAGAAAAGAAATAGATAAACATATCGAAGCTTTATTATATCAGCACAACCATTCCTGCAAAATGTCATGAAATCTTTGAAGTAATATTATTATCACTATTAGTAATATCTTTTTGATAGGAATGGTCTTTATGCTTATGTGCAATGTGACGGGAAGTTTTTAAACAAGCAACCCCCACTCTGGTTTGGGTATTTAAATGAAACCCGAAAATCTATCAACCCAGTAATTATCAATTGAAGAAACTGAGGTTACAAAATAATAATAATAATAATAATAATAATAATAATAATAATAATAATGTCTTGAGTAATAGAAATCAAGAGAGAATACCGAGTTTTCAAACTAAACTATTTGGAATTTTTGAGTACATGCATCATTCTGATGTGCCCATAGTACCAGCAATATATACCCGATAAATATCGTATTTTTAACAGGCAGTTTAGTGTGCACCATGAATGTAATCAAAATACTTTTGAACTATATCTTAGAATGTTAAATAATAATAAATAAGTAAGTTCATTAGCAAAACAAAACGTTTTCTCTAATCACACAGTTTCCATAGACCATACAACTCTAATTATAATGAACGGAAACTGAACAAAACTGATATAACCAAGAAAGAGATTTATAGAAGTTCACTCCAATAAAATGAATGATTTAGAAGAGGAAAGAAATTGGAAAATAGCGATGTTTTACTACACTTATTTAAAGGACATTCAATTTTTCGTGTTAGCATATCTAAACCGTTGATTCAACCTTCTTTTACATATACATGTCTCTGGGTGTATTCATTAGTTAATAAAATGGGCATAAAAGATCATTTCTTACAGAACTTATTTTCTTAAAAAACATTTTGGACTATTAAGTTTAAAAGGAAGTAAACACTTATCGGAACATTAACAACTGTTTTTAAATCACATTTATTTTGCGTCACTCAATAATTTCTCCTCCAGGCTTAAGTTATGTAGATTTAAAATAGGATTCAACTAGCCTTAATTAATTCCAATTTTATGTTAGTAACTTTGCACACTAATAAAATAAAAATGCCCCATAATGTATTTGTTAAGTATATCAGTGTTACATCAAATTAAAGGATAAAACACTTGATAATTTGACATTATAATTTCTAATAATTTTAGCATTGGGTATATTGTTAATAACAAAAACCATAAGTAAAAATACAGATTTCAAAATGTTTTTTCCAAATGCAAAGAAAGTCGTAGCTGGATTTTTTCATGCAATGTCAAACCCTCCTGCGCTTCATGGTCAGGAAGGCCTGAAGATTCATTCAAAATAAACCATTTATTCAAATATCCAAATAATTATTTCTATTCATATCTCGTATCAGGAGCAAATGTTCTTTACTCTTTTACATTAGAAATATATTTTTCACATACACTAACCTACAAATAAGTAGGTCTCATACAGAATCACTTTGTTCGAAATAACGTGATATTAACGTGATCAGATCTATTTTGATTATACTAAAACTTGTGTGTTTTATATTCTTTGTATCACCGAAACTTTTGTTAATTTATTTCATTTACTTCTTTAAAAAAGGACACGCACGAAGTTATGAAATGTCAGCAATTCAATTCTCCACTCACTAGAGTTTTTATAAATACGTTATTCTTAATACAACTATTATTAGTTTCTAACTAGTAAATCTATTGTTAAAGTGGAAGAGAATCAAAACCTGTTTATCATTGACATTTTGCATCAGTGCGTCATAGCTTCACATAATTATATAGGACACTCATAAAGTCTATCATTATTTATAGAAGTGAGAATAAGGTCAAGCCTTAGAATCATCATTTCATTCAAATTATATTAAAGATATAAAATGTGTAAATATGATATTATTATTAAGATGTTACAACGTTACTAAATGCACCAAAAAACCAATAGATAATGAAGAATAATACTCACCCAGCATGCAGCCGTGTACACTCATCTACATCTGTATAACGAGCATCTGATAGAATTTTTCGCATAAGTGGAGTACAAATACGTTGACCTATCACTAGTTTTTCTTCTTTTGTTATACCATATTCCTAAGGATAAGGAAAGCAGAAAGTATAAACATTTTTTCTAGTATGTGACAGACGGTAGAAGACAAACACAAAAATGGCATTGAATAAGGTAACATCAAGAGTACTAATCACAACAGTATCATCAGAATGACTATGTAATTAGGACAATAACAGTGATAGTCATAAAAGACAATTAATTCATATTAGTTTGGTCAAAAATTTCAAAGAATTGGTATGAAGTCCGCTTTCGTACGAAACACGACAAATTATTTCTAACAACGAAAATAAACCTTTGTCATTTATTCTATTGAGACGACACCTAAACCTCGATTGTGGACGAACACATTGTGCAACAGTCCGCTCTATGATACTCAAAAATTATGGGATTAAGTCACTGATGATAGACTATATAAGAATAACTGAATATAAGTCATCAGAACATATCATATGTGTGATCAAATTGACGAGTGAACAATATTTCCTTATCTGCTCATGGTCTTTTTAATTTACAGTTTATCAAAAGTTCTCTTTATTGCTAACAGTATTTTTTGCCTTATCAAGAACTGGAACAACCTAAGCAAATGCGCTTATTCTTGATGCTCTATATTATAAGGCTTTTCTGTTTAGACAAAGTGACATATTATAGCCTATGGTTCATTCAGAGATTACATTTCTAGAAAAACAAAGAAGGGAATGAAATCAATATGAAACACTGATGTTTCCGCATGGTTCAACTAATAACAGTCAAAAAAGATAATATCAAAACTGTTTAATGCAAATGATTATGGTTATTGACAAATTCCGTCAATCTCAGCAGTGAATGAGCACTTAGAGATGCGTTGTTTGTACTTGCTTTATCCTTTATAAGAAGATTTGAAGAAATTGCTATCAAAGTGAGAATTGTAGTTTGGTGCAGTAAAAAGCATTAACTTTATTCTGTTCACAGTCTCACACCTAGGGACTAAGTGACAATGGTTTTTGACTGAGAATGATATCCCAAAACAAATTATATTTACAAATTCGAATGTCAACAAAACGATACATTTTATTGAAATATTACGAAAAATATCTTTTTCCCAACAAGCATCGGTAGATGAGAGTTTTAATATTTTATCAAACATAAGCTAGTACAGTTATTCAGCAGAACGTAATTTCATGGAAGGAGAAACACCAATGGATCAACAGTAAATACATAACTGCAGTCCTTGATTTATTCTACTGAGGTCCTACTAAATACGATTATTTTTGATGTTACATTTATTTACTATCATTTCTTCTTTCATATATACAAAATTAAATACAAGTCTGTAAAAGCTGGGAGGAAATTTAAAGTAATTTGTAATCAAATTATCGCCGCTACATAATATAAACTTGAAATTGAATTACATCACTAGTTTTATCACTATAATCGCTATAAGCATGTCAAATTACCTGTGGGACAATAATGTCAGCTAGCGACTTTGCACACATGAAGAAATCTTGCACCTCAGATTCTAGTAAAATCCCAGAATTATGTTGTAAGTCATATTTTATGTTGTCATATATATCTGAAATTTTAGAAAGATCATATTCTCCTTCAGGAGATCGGAAATCTTTTAATAGCTTTCCCCAACGTCTGAGCAATAGGTCCCAACTTTCACCTTGATACAAGTGTATTCGACTGCGTTCTTTGGAACTTCGTGAGAGCCAAGCAAGACGATTAGATAACAGACGAACATGTTCAAACAGGCGACCACATGCTCTATACGGGCTTTTAACATACTGCATAGCATTAATTATAGAACGTGCGCCGGTAGGAACAAGAGTAGCAATGTCTTCAGCGGTGAAATCGCTGTTTTTTGACATGACTTCATTGATTCGACGTTTGACCATCTGCTGATAGTGACGACAGTCGTTATCATTATCTAAAAGACCGTTCGTATTAGCTGACTTGACCATCTGAACAAGGATTGGTGGTAGTTCTCCTTCTAGTGCCAAGAAACCTTTAGCAAAAGCTGCAGCTGTCATTTGGACCCGACCCTCGTCAGAAGCATATATCTTCAAATCATGACGATAAGTACTGTGTAAACGTAATAATCCAAGACCAGGATCTTTACCATAGTGGCCATCTCCACCTGGGTAAATGCAACGAAAAGCTTTTCCTAGAGTTTCTGCTTGTTGCTTGCCTGCGGCTGTTAATTCTCCACCCCATTTCACGACAACTAATAAGCAAGGTTGGGTGTTGTCACATTCGTCAGTACAGTCACAAGATATTGGAATACTACCTGAAAAAAGACCATTCAAAATCCAAGGATTTTGGAAATTCGTTTTACTTCTGACAAATGATCAATATATGTGGTTGTTCATTTACATGGCAATGAAAATGATTTCATGTACTACATAATGGTCACCACGGTATGATCTTGTTTCTCAACAGTAAGCATAGTTACTTTTCCCAATAACCCACTTTTAACAGACACGGTAGATATGAGTATTTTGACTCACATTCACGGTTCTATTGAAATACTGTCGTAAACTAATTACATCAGTAATGAACTTCTTTTAAGCCAAATATATGTGAAGTTCAATCCACCAAAATCATTTCTGCACAATGACATAACCCTAACTATATTACTCACTGAAAAGATTTTTAGCTTATATAAATAACTAGATGAATCTCTAAAACATTTAAAGTGAACACAGAAATTAATAGAAAACCAAAAGTGGTCACTTTAGTATACTCATTGTATTGCGCAGAAGAAAAGGTTAGTCATTTGTATCGATCTCTAGACCTTATGCCTACATTAGTTAATTAGTTAAATAGATAAGAAAAGAAACGATGTATGTATAAGACAAAAATAGTAATTCTAAATTCAAAAGATTTTAAATACCAGGCAACAAATTAAATCCAAATTATGGTTACTAACCGTTCAAGCGGGTCGTGTTATCGCATCACGAAAGTAATATATATATAGTCTCGATCAACAGTTCTAAAAGTATTTTATTACACTAGTGTTAACTTTGACGATCGTCGTTCTCCACCTATATGTGTCTGAAGAAAATGTAACCTAGCCGAGATAATTTGGTAGAAAAGGGTGTTTTTCAAGCATTGGTTGCTAATCGTGGAACAACTAAGTGAGAAATTTTGAGGTTATGCAAACCAGTTTATGAGGTTGCGGATATCCAACTGAAGTGGTTGGGATATATGTAACTCGGCTGATACAATGCCCAAACATTAGGCATAACAGTCAGGTATATATTGATTGAAGAATAAGTGACCAATAGGCTTATTTCGTCCAACCCCCTATGACATTTTGCCGTGTTTGTTTTGTGTTCATATTCAGTATGTAAGTCGTTTTATTGCATGAAAAACTATTCATCTGGTTATTGGTCTTGCATTGGATTTCCGATCATTCGGTGGGTTAATTCAATACTACGGTCTCGAAGGTAACCATCACTAGGCCACATTATATCATTACGTTCACCAAACGATTAGCATTCCGTCTACTGATTTTAACAATCCAGAATTTCATCTCATCAAATCACGGAAAACCATCTAGATTAAACCAAACATCGCTTTCCTCGACGCACAAGATTTCCCCGAGTAGGAATAAACTGGAAAAACTAGAATTGGATAAAGCAAGACAAAGCCTTTGGGATTATCATGATTGATGATTAAAGATACTGGAAAACACTTGCTCGGAATTGGTCAATGGTGGGATGCATCCGTTCTTCAAATTTTGAGATGGAAAATTAATTATTACGTCTTACTCCGTGAATCAAATTCTTCTTTCCGGATCACCTTATTTATAGTCAGTCAATTCTACTATAATTGATTTTACTACTTTCAGTATTTTGGTATTCATCTCGATAATTTCATCTCGCTGTCCTAGTGTGACATCTTAATTTGTTCTATGTTGATTTCGACTGACTGTCTAACCAAAATTGATATTTTAGATCGCTAACAGGTTTAAGACTATCACATGAAAAAGGCATGAACACTTCATAAATAAAAAATTTTGATAAAGTTTCATTTGCAATAGAAAGAAAAAATGAGAATAGAGTGCTGAATATCATGAGTAACAGTTTTTTGTGAAATATTTTGAACAGAGCTGCTTAGTTTCTTTGAACGCGGATACCGATATTTTTTAAAAGTTGAATAGTGGATAGTAACGCAGTCAAGAATGCACGTTACGTCATACTTTTGACTCACTAGCTGGATGTACTTAAATCCTAATGTTGAAGCTGACTATCAAACCTTACTAAAAAAATTGTGACTATGTAGCAATATCGAGATGAACTAGTTTCGCCAAATTTAGAGATATTAACAGTTGCTGAAACTAGTACGTGTTACGTAAGCTTTAAATGCATACAAGAAAGCTGGAACTTGGATGTTTTAACTCAATAAACACCAATACAGACTAATTTGAAAATATGCAGTGCATAAACACGATTGCGAAACAAAGTTCACATTTTAATGAAGCGGTATGCAAGAAAACCAACACAAAAGCTCACTTGAATAACCAATTTTTGATTCTTTACCAATTCCATGTGGTTGATATTTTAACTGAATTTTACGGTTAATTCCACTAAATGACCCATACATTTCTAAGACATATCTAGTAATAGAGTAAAAGAAAATATGAAATCAAAAATCATTTAATACTTATAATAAGCGAAAAGTAGTGACTAAAATTTAGTGATAAATTAAACTATCTACTTTTCACTAACCAAGTGAGAATCCTTTTTATAGGCAATAGTAACCATTACATACAATCACTTCCACAAGATCTAGAAATATGCTGTTCGTCTAAAAATTTCATGACATGATTCTATTTCGTTTTATGAAGAACAATTAAATTGTGACTTAAATATATTTGACCACCGAACACAATTATTTCCTGGACCAAAACCAAGAGTTAGTAGATTCATGGGTTTGGTCATTCTGAAGACTATTCAACTCAAGCACTCCAGTCAATAAATAGTTACAACCATGTTGACTTATTTATTATCCATAGCCAGTACTTTTAGCTTGAAATCATATAACTGTAGTTTGATCATATCTTCATAGCGTTCCGAAAAAATCTTTAAATTCTTGAGACCTGTCTATCCCTATCATCATACACGGCAACTTTTTATATTCGTGTAGTGAAATGGAATTAATGGCTTAACAAACAGCTTGATATTTATTGAGAATTTCAAAGTTTACCGATCTACAGGTGAAGTAATTTATTAAAAGCTGGGCAAGCTTGATGTATACACATTACGATTTTCTCAATTATCAGTTAATGTAGCCTAATACGACTGATTATGAAAGAATGAACGGGATATTAAACCAGTTTAATAAGTGTTTAAGATATTAATTAAAACAAACTGATCCTTAAGAGAAAATGGATTTCGGTAAGTGATAAAAATTACTTACTTACTTACTTACGCCTGTTACTCCCAATGGAGCATAGGCCGCTGACCAGCATTCTCCAACCCACTCTGTCCTGGGCCTTCTTTTCTAGTTCCATCCAATTCTTGTTCATTTTTCTCATGTCTATCTCCATTTCTCGGCGTAATGTGTTCTTTGGTCTTCCTCTTTTCCTTTGACCTTCAGGATTCCATGTGAGGGCTTGTCTTGTGACGCAGTTGGGTGCTTTCCTCAATGTGTGTCCTATCCACTTCCAGCGCTTCTTCCTGATTTCTTCCTCCACTGGGATCTGGTTTGTTCTCTCCCACAGTACGTTGTTGCTAATAGTGTCCGGCCAATGGATCTGAAGTATTTTGCGTAGACAACTGTTAATAAACACCTGTATTTTCTGGATGATGGCTTTTGTAGTTCTCCAGGTTTCTGCCCCATACAGTAGAACTGTCTTGACATTTGTATTGAAAATCCTGACCTTGGTGTTGGTTGACAGTTGCTTTGAGTTCCAGATGTTCCTCAGTTGTAAATATGCTGCTCTTGCTTTGCCGATCCGCGCCTTCACATCTGCATCAGATCCACCCTGTTCATCAATGATGCTGCCCAAATATGTAAAGGTTTTTACATCTTCCAAATCTTCTCCGTCAATTGTGATTGGATTGGTGCATGCTGTGTTGTATCGGAGAATCCTGCTTTTCCCTTTGTGTATATTGAGACCTACTGCTGCTGAGGCTGCTGCCACACTGTTCGTCTTCTCCTGCATCTGTTGTTGCGTTTGGGATAGAAGGGCCAGATCGTCTGCGAAGTCTAGATCATCCAACTGCATCTTAGATGTCCATTGTATCCCGCGCTTCCCTTCAGACGTTGACGTCTTCATGATCCAGTCGATCACCAGGAGAAAGAGAAAGGGTGAGAGTAAGCAACCTTGCCTAACACCGGTCTTCACTTCGAACGACTTTGTCAACTGTCCTCCATGCACAATTTTGCAGTGTAATCCATCATATGAGTTCTGTATGATATTGACTATCTTCTGAGGCACGCCGTAGTGTCGAAGAAGTTTCCATAGTGTTGTTCTGTCCACGCTATCAAATGCCTTTTCGTAGTCAATGAAGTTGATGTAGAGTGATGAATTCCATTCAATTGATTGTTCCACAATGATCCGTAGAGTTGCGATTTGGTCTGTACACGATCTATCCTTACGGAATCCTGCCTGTTGGTCACGAAGTTGGGCGTCTACGCAGTCCTTCATCCTGTTTAACAATACCCTGTTGAAGACTTTTCCCGGTATTGAGAGAAGAGTGATGCCCCTGTAGTTATCACACTTGCTGAGATCGCCTTTCTTCGGTATTTTGATCAGAAGTCCTTCTTTCCAGTCTGTTGGTACTTGTTCCTCATCCCAAATCTTATTGAAGAGAATGTGGAGTATCCTTGCAGTTGCCGCTACGTCTGCTTTTAGTGCCTCTGCTGGATGTTGTCCGGTCCTGCTGCTTTGCCACTCTTGATTTGTCTGATGGCCATGCTGATTTCTTCAATTGTTGGTGGGCCAACATTGATTGGGAGGTCCGTGGGTGCTGCTTCGATGTTGGGTGGGTTCAGTGGAGCTGGTCGATTCAAGAGTTCTTTGAAGTGTTCTACCCACCTGTTTTGTTGCTCTTCAATGTTGGTGATTACCTCGCCTTCCTTGCTTTTCACTGGTCGTTCTGGTTTGCGGCGATTTCCAGAGAGTTTCTTTGTCGTGTCATACAATTGTCTCATGTTTCCTTCTCTTGCAGCCTTTTCCGCCGTCGTTGCTAAATCTTCCACATATTTACGTTTGTCGGTTCTGATGCTCCTCTTCACTTGTTTGTTTACTTCTGTGTATTCAGCTTGTGCCTTGGCTTTTTCTGCTCTTGTTCGACTGGTATTGATTGCTGCCTTCTTGTTCCTTCTTTCTTGAATCTTATCCAGTGTATCAACAGTGATCCATTCCTTGTGGTGGTGCTTCTTGTGACCCAGGACCTCATGACATGTTGAAGTGATTGCCTCTTTGATCCCCTTCCAGTTGCTCTCCACAGTAGTTCCTTCTCCATTGAGTAGATCATGAAAGGCCTGGAACTTGTTGCTGAGGACTATCTTGAATTTGTTGAGTTTGTTAGTATCCTGGAGAAAGGCCGTATTGAACTTTTGTGATACTGTCTGCCCCGTTGTCCAGTGCTTCTTGAGTTTCAATTTCATCTTGGCGACCAGCAAGTGATGATCTGATGCTATATCAGCTCCTCTCTTGGTTCTCACGTCCTCTATAGTCCTCCTGAACGTTTTGTTGATGCAAATATGGTCGATTTGGTTTTGTGTAGAGTGATCCGGTGAAGTCCATGTGGTTTTGTGTATGCGTTTATGTGGGAATATGGTGCCGCCTATGACCAGCTTATTGAAGGCACATAGATTTGCAAATCTCTCACCATTTTCGTTCCTTTCTCCCAGTCCGTGTCGTCCCATGATGTCTTCATATCCAGTGTTGTCCGTTCCAACCTTGGCGTTGAAATCTCCCATCAGAATGGTCAGGTCCTTTGTTGGGCACTTCTCGACGATTGACTGCAGCCTATTGTAGAATTGATCTTTAGCGTCTTCATTGTAGTCGTTGGTAGGCGCATAGCATTGGATGATGTTCATTGAAATGCCCTCTTTCTTTGTTTTGAACGAGGCTTTGATGATCCTTGGTCCATGAGATTCCCATCCTATAAGTGCATTTTGCGCTTGTTTGGACAGCATCAATGCAACTCCTTGTGTAAGTGATAAAAATAGTATTAATAAAATCTTGTTGTGAGAGTCGATACATTCCCGTTGTTTATATTATTAACAGTAATTCATAATTTGGGAACTATATGGACTCACCAGTTTAGTCGGTAACTCGTCGGCATAGGTACTAGACTCGAGCTTCAGTGTCAACATCAACACGAATGAAGCTACATACAGTCTATGAGTTCCAAATAAGACAAAACATGCGTCGTAGTTTCCACCGCAAAAGACAATCCGAAAACACCAAAAGCACTCATATTGTTAAAACATTGTGTCCTATGCTAAATTTATACAAGGTTTCGACATAAATTATTGTACCCTAAAATATGTAAAAATATTCATACTTGTACTACGACATACTATGTTGTAGGACAGTAATATTTTGGGGAACGTTTGTCGACAAAAGTAGTGTACTTCTTTCAGAAAATATGAACTCACTTTAGTTGCTCAAACTTTGGCTTTATTCGAAGAAGACAATTATCAGTACACTGGCCAGAATCAATTTCTTCCAAAATGGATCGCACAATATCTAAAATTTCTTGCAACTGGGTAGGACGTTTGATTTTTAATTCACGAGCCCAACCACCTGCGTACTTAGTGAAAAATGAGAAAAATTTCTGATGGCAAACTTCCATTTTCATTTTCTGTTTTGGCGTTCTGTCACCATGACGAATGACAGCGATTACACAACGAAGTTCCATAATTGCTCCACAAGTTGTTGGTACCAGCGGAGTATCTACATCTGTACCTGGAGGCAAGTTGGTCGGCAAACACAATCGTGGTGCTATTTTTCGAGTAATTAGCACACCAAGAATGTGACTACAGTCATCATAGTACTTTTTGGAAGACTTTACAAAAGAAAATCCGTTTACGTCACAAACATAAGACATTCCATTAGCCCGAAGAAGATCGAATCCACAGATTTGCTGCCGAACAGCTTTTGCTACTTTCTTGGCAATGATTTTCTCTCTAGGTGTTAGTATGACAGGATAGCGAACTTCTTTACCTTCGTGATCTCGTTCTACCTTCCCATCTAAGGCAGGAGATTTTCGAGCCTCTGCATGAGCATAATCATCTGCGACCGTGTAAACCTAAGTGGGTTATAATAAAAAAGTTATCATGGAGTTAACTTTAAAATTCCTTTCTATGATATAACAATTATATTAGCACCACAACTAAACTAACTAAATTTCGGATCTAGTGACTATCAAATACGAACGAACTTTAGAATCCATATAATTTTACATGATGGAATTTAACATAAAAGCAGCGAAAGACTAAAATGCTGCTTACAACATATGAGGCTATTCCTAGTCGACTGTGTCCTGATTTTAGTACCAAAGGCGCCATTCATAGCACAAATGATTAGGTTTGAATAATAAAGGCTTTCTAATTTTCATTGGCTATGAGAGACCAGAAAAGTTAAATAATTAAACTGTTAAATATATATACTTAGAAATTAAGAAATGAGACACTCGATAGCTTCTTTAAAATAAGAACTTAGAATGAGGCTTCGCATTAACTGGGAAAGGTTTCACAAGTAATCACAGTAACGATGTCGGGAAATTGAAAACAAATGTTATGAACGTACACGGAAGAAGACTCTTCAATTAAGGAAAATAATTGAAATAAAATCATGATTAGACCTAGTGACTTGGAGTAATAGTCAGAATGAGGAAAAAATCAATCACTTTCCTTATTTGTACTACCAAGGCAACTGCAAGTTATCATATAACATACCTTAAAGTTTGGTTTTAACTCTCAGACTAGCATAGGGTCTGAAAATTCACGGAATCCAAAACTTCAAAAGTTGAGATCATGAGTCAATTGAAGCTAGACCACCATGGAAAACCTGGAAGCACTGGACGGCCGTTCCATCCTATTGTGGGACTCCTCATCAGTACGCATCCACGACCCCGCCACGCAGGATTCGAACTCAGGACCTGTTAGTCTCGCGCCAGGCGCTTAACCAACTAGACCACTGAGCCGGCATCCAACGGCTTTAATGTCTAACTTCATGACGTTTAAATAATCTCTATTAGACACACAAACTGACGGTCTAGATACAAAATACCCCACATCATACATAAAGTTCATCGTACCTTTACATCTGTACCATCCGTTGGCATAAATTCCTCATACATATAAGATCCATTTGTTCGAATATTACTGTGTGGAAAGTACTTGCTGCTGCGATTTCCAACTTTTCGAAAGAGACGCTGACTGCCTCCTCCAGCGCTACTAGGGAAGTAGATGTAGATATTATGATCTTCAGCATGCAAAGGTTTTTCTACGAATGGTTTGTGAAAAACCTCACCATTAATCTAAAATAAAAATCTATACTTTATTCAAGAGATACCTCGGAAAATTGAAGACAAATCTAGGCTAGACAAACTTATTAGTGTGATAATATTCTGGCAAAGATACATTTAAGGACGGTAGACAATTGTTTGTACAAAAATACTGACTTATAAAATTGCCACAGTTCAAGCAGTGTAACTAGGTTATTACTTTATATTGTTTTAATTGTATCAAATTACTCAACATTTTCACATAAATTAGGTTTTTAAATGACCAAAAAAACTTGACAAGATCAATTAAAACTTCTAAGTGTCATAAAATTTCGTTCTGCTGACAGCCCACATAAAATATTCAGTAACTATCTACTAAAAATCTAACAGAGGAATACCAGATAATCAAAAACACTTTACTCAACAAAAAATAAATGTTTTGTTAACATAGTGGACACAACAAAAAGTAAATACGGTGAATATATTCATATCATTTCTTAATATTTTACAAGCAAATTTATAAGGTGGTTTTTTCATCCAATTACTTCACACTAATCTAAACTGACCAAAGCATTTTGCCACAATTTTGCTATACGACTACGCTCAACACGGGAAAGTAACTAATTTGAAAACGCTGTGACGGAAACGAGAATAAACGCAGTTCTATAACGTGTGCTAGGTTAAGCGTTGGTTTATCGTTGTTTACCCCACCATTAAAAAAAAGCAAAAAGCTGATTACATGCAATTCATCTTTAAATCAAGTAAAACACAAGGGTCCGCTAGGTTGCAAGATTTCTAGAAGCTTATTCATGGTCGGACGGAATAAGCATGAGCACAAATGGCCAAAAATATCTCTAATCTTTAGCTTATATATATATATATATATATAGTATTCCAATTATGCATGCTAGTAAGATGCAACGCTAGGTACACATTTTAAGGGAAAATAGATAAAATATATTAAAGAAACTAGACATAATGTCGTACGACAATTTTATAAAACCTCATCTAAAACATTTTTTTCAAGTAGAACTAATCAATACTACCAGGACTTTTAAGCGTTACCTTTCTGATTTCCTCAGGTTATGAAAACCTGGCTAACTAGAACTATATGACGGGTTATTATGTGTAAGCATGAAGCGAAACTAGCCTTCAATAATAAAATTGGTTGACTACATCCAATTAATGTTCGTTCTGCTCACGAAAGTTACACACGTACAGAGAAATTATGTTTGTGAATATACATATGACTGATCGAGATTTTACGTCAATATTTTAATTATACTCATAATTTTATTTGAAGTGAAATTTCATGAGTTTAAACTTCTCAGATATGTCATGAAAGGTTAAAAAACCCTTAACAGCCCGGAAACAACATGCTAATCATGGAAATTCTAAAGCCAACTTGATGAAACATAACATGCAAAATAAAGTGGCAAGAAGTTAATCTCCTGTGTAAGTTGGTGCGTGTTGATGTCTTTGAGGTAGGATTGATTAATTAAAAGCTATGGATGGGTTTAATAGAAACCGTCAGAAAGCTTCAAAATCTGATTCTAAGACCCCAGCTAACCCTGTTCCTTTACACATGATCTACTTCGTCATAACAAATAAAAAACATAGTTACACGCCAGTCGAATTTCCGGTGGGACTATGATTTATGGACGACCTGTGAGTAACGCTCAAGTGACCTAGGAATGTTCAACAACGCAAACCGATAATAAGCTATAGTGCTGAAATGATATTTAACTAAATGGTTGAATGAATTTCGGGCCAAAATTCAAGACATGCTAACTTAAATAATAGTCCCGTAGAATTTTCTTAGGTGTACAACTGAAAGTGGTGAGGTTTATCTCAATGTACAAATCTATATACTGACTGAAATTCTTGTATTCCAGAACAAATAGTCTTACCCGCACTACAATATTAAGAAGTGCAACTCAAAACTGTATACCTAAAAATTAGGCCTAACGGAAGTCAGATAATAAAGTATACTTTGGGTCTTTAGAAAAAATCACTAACCTCAATCGAATCGTCAAGCTCAACAACTTTCACTGGGTTTTCTGATGTTCTATCAACAAATGCATATCTCGGAACTGGAACACCTTCTCTCATCAAGCACTCATAAACCCTTCTCCTATCCATCAAAATGTATTGGGACTCAAGATCATTGACAAGGTAAGGCTTCCGCAGCTTCGAATAAGCAATAGCTTTTTTGAGAGGAAATCCTTCAGAATAAAAACTGACCAGTGCATCACAGATGGGCCATGACTCTATTGGTGAATCTAATATCATTTTCTCGTCAAATATTATTATCTTAATGTGCTGGAACTTGTCCATTCTTCTCAAAATTTCCTTCATTGGTTTTGACATTGCTTTCTTTGCCATTGCACAAACTCCTATTGTGACTACTACATCATTATCATCCGTCCTTTCACCCATATTTCAGTCTGTAACACGTTTTCTTATCGTTTACCTGGAGGCAGGAGCAATCTGAAACACAACACAACAGTCAGGACTGGCAGATGCCACTCAAGTGAGAACACGGCGTGCGAGCACAACAGAGATATATTAGAAATTGAAATACGCGGTTTTTGTACAAAAAGAGAAGTCTGTTACAAAATAGTTTTACTCATCATCCAGCAGGTTTAGTTTGCGCAAGCTTTGTTCTTCTTCTTCTAATACGTTCACTTTCTGTTGTCCTGCAATAAGGAAAACAAACCTGCATTAATAAAGTTACACGTAATGACTTTCGATACTGTTACACTATCCCCTCTCTTCATGAGGCACTGTCCTCAGTGCCTGGTGCTGGACATGGGTATGCTACCCCTCCTTCTGGTGGCACTTCATAATGGCTGACGGCAGTCGGGGGGTTGACAAACGGGGTATCTAAGTGCACCGTTGTCTTGTCTGGCTTTAATTGATTGTAGTGTACTGTTATAACATCGTCTTGGGGTCGTTGGAGGTTACGTAAGACGAATGTAGTGGGGGACCGCATAAACACAACTTCGTAAGGTCCTTGCCAAGGGTGATGGAACTTGCTGCATGTCCCCGGTGGAGCCAAAGGGCGGTGCAGCCACACGCGATCTCCGGGTTTATACACAGGTCCGTTCGTCTTGCGATCGTACACGTCCTTTTGGTGCTTGCTGGCATTTTGTAGGTTGATCTTCACTAAGCGATAGGCGTCGGCTAGGCGGCTGCGAAGATTACGGATGTATACTACATGATCTTGGATCTCGCATGGTAACAGCGGTATTTGCAGCTCAACGGGTAGGCGCAATTCATGCCCAAAAAGTAGGGTCGCCGGTGAAAATCCTGTAGATCCGTGCACTGATGAGCGGTAAGCTAACAGACATTGTGGTATCACGTCATCCCAACCTTCCGTCGACGACTTATTGATAAACGATTGAAGGAGAGCTTTGATAGTCCTGTTGGTTCTTTCTACTAAGCCGTTACCTTCTGGATGATATGCGGTAGTGTGTGTTTTCCGGATTCCCAATAATCGACATACCTGGGCGACGAGATGACTTTCAAAAGCTGAACCTTGGTCAGAATGGAGTGAGAGGGGAGCGCCGTACCGGGATACCCAATGATCAATGAAAGCCCGAGTAACTGTGAGGGCATCTTGTTGTGGTATAGGCACAGCTTCACACCATTTGCTGAAATAGTCTACCATAACCAGTAAATAACGGTTTCCGTTCTTCGACGTTGTGAGTGGCCCCATAATATCGATGCCAACTCGCTGATGCGGACCTTCTGTCGTCATTGGAACTAAGGGTGCGCGGGGTATTTGTCGGGGTGACTTGATAGCATAGCACGTGCTACAATTTTTGCAGAATTCTGCAACGTCTTCGTGGATGGATGGCCACCAAAACCTTCCGCAGATAGCATGTTCAGTCTTCCGTGTTCCTGAGTGCCCCAGTTCTCGGTGTACCTGCTCCATAATATTCTGAACTTGTATACGTGGTACTATCAGTAGTGGTTGTTTTGATTCACTGACTATAAATAGCGTGTCTTCATACAATCTTAGACCGCCCCACTTGGCACAAAGACGGCGCGTTGCCAAGGAATGATCCTTTAACTCTGCCATAGATGGTTTATTATTGCCATGTAGTTGCCTCTGATAAATAAATCGCAGATCTGGGTCTTCTGCTTGAAGAGACGGCCAGTCGATCTCGGGGGCTGTGCTAAGGACGGCACTAATGGTATCAGGAGAATAAGGTATACGAGATAGAGAATCAGCGTTTGTGTGTCGGCTTCCGGGTCGGTATTCACAGGTAAAATCAAACTCCTGCAACCTCTCCTGCCAGCGCGCTACCTGACCTTCTGGTTCACGGAACGAACGAAGCCACTGTAGTGCACGGTGGTCTGTGCGTACACGAAAGGGTCGTCCTAAAAGATAGTGACGAAAATGTTGCGAAAATTTTACCAAAGCCAGCATCTCTCGGCGCGTCGTAGAATACCTTGTCTCCCTCTTATCTAACCGCCGACTAGCGTAGGCAATGACCCGCTCCTGTCCATCTACTGCTATTTGAGACAGGACTGCTCCAATAGCTGATGAACTAGCATCTGTATCGAGTATAAACTCACCCGCTTTAGCAGAAGTGTCCGGAAAAGCTAGTACGGGTGGAGCAGCAAGACACGACTTCAAAGTGCTAAATGCTTGTTGACACTCTGTGGTCCACAAAAATGTTCGTCCTTTGTGCGTCAGGCGATGCAGAGGTGCTGCCAGGGATGCGAAATCCCGTACGAAACGTCTATAATAAGAAGCGAGTCCCAGGAAGCTGCGAACATCCTCGGCAGATTTCGGTTGTGGCCAGTTAATAATGGCGCTCGTTTTTCCCTGATCTGTTGCTACTCCATCTTCTGTAATGCGATGCCCTAGAAAGAGCACTTCTTTTTGCAATAGTCGACATTTAGATGGTTTAACTTTTAGGTTATGCTGCTTAATTCGTTGTAGGACTGCCTTCAAATTGGCATTATGCTGTTCCGGCGTTCTGCCATACACAATAATATCATCAAGGTAAATTAAACACTGGTGTGGTACGAGACCATGTAGAACTGTCTGCATTAATCGTTGGAAAGTGGCTGGGGCATTAGTTAACCCAAACGGCATTACTTGAAACTCATATAGACCATTGGGTACTGTGAATGCAGTCTTTTTTCTATCTTGAGGTCGGACTTCCACTTGCCAATACCCTGATGCTAAGTCTAAAGTCGAGAACCAACGAGCGCCTTTCATGGCATCTAATGTAGCGTCTATACGTGGAAGTGGGAAAGAATCACGTTTAGTTATAGCGTTAAGGCGGCGGTAGTCTACGCATAGTCGTAGGGAAGAGTCTTTCTTTTTCACTAAAACGATAGGCGATGCCCATGGTGATGAAGATGGTACAATGATCTTTTTCTCCAGCATATCTTTTACCATAGATTCTAATTGAGGCTGGTAATGTACTGGTACTCGGCGAGGTGGTTGACGTAATGGCGTGTGATCACCTGTGAGGATGGAGTGCTGTACAGTGGTCGTCCGATTTCCAGAGATATTCTCAGAGAAAACGGAACTGAATTGTTGGAGTACAGCAGTGGTTGCTCGACGGTCTTTTTCAATTATTATTTTATTATCTTGTACCTGACGTACAATTTCTGAAATTCCCACCTGGGCTACGGACTTAGTTGGTATTTCATGGTGTTGTATTTGCACGACAACTCCACCAATACTCGCTTCTGACTTATTCATGTGTATAGAGACCTGGTATTTTAACATGAAGTCGACCCCGAGAATCATGTCCCAAGTCAGTGTGGGGCAAACCCAGAATTCATGTTGAAAAGGCTTCTTGTCAACCGTCAGCTCTAACCCTATCTTAGAACACGCTTTCAAGGGTTCTCCGCTCGCGGTAATTAAGGTAGAAGAGCATTGTTTACGCTGAGTGCTGTGGTTAAGTTTCTGCAAGAGGTCTTCCTTGATCAAGGATACTGAAGCTCCTGTATCTAATAGTATATTAATCTCAGTACTTTGCACTCTACCCTTAATAGTAACAGGGCACAAATGTTTAACATAGCAAGACGATATATGCAAACGACACTGCTTACCTCTGTTTTTCACGCGGTTATGACCGCATTTCTTGGCATTTTTGCCGAAACGTCTGCAGTAGAAGCATTCTGTTTGCTGGCCTCGATAGTTGTCTCTTGACGACCGTCCGTTCCATGTGGAAGTCGGCTGCCCTCGTCTACTAAGCCGTTACCTTCTGGATGATATGCGGTAGTGTGTGTTTTCCGGATTCCCAATAATCGACATACCTGGGCGACGAGATGACTTTCAAAAGCTGAACCTTGGTCAGAATGGAGTGAGAGGGGAGCGCCGTACCGGGATACCCAATGATCAATGAAAGCCCGAGTAACTGTGAGGGCATCTTGTTGTGGTATAGGCACAGCTTCACACCATTTGCTGAAATAGTCTACCATAACCAGTAAATAACGGTTTCCGTTCTTCGACGTTGTGAGTGGCCCCATAATATCGATGCCAACTCGCTGATGCGGACCTTCTGTCGTCATTGGAACTAAGGGTGCGCGGGGTATTTGTCGGGGTGACTTGATAGCATAGCACGTGCTACAATTTTTGCAGAATTCTGCAACGTCTTCGTGGATGGATGGCCACCAAAACCTTCCGCAGATAGCATGTTCAGTCTTCCGTGTTCCTGAGTGCTCCAGTTCTCGGTGTACCTGCTCCATAATATTCTGAACTTGTATACGTGGTACTATCAGTAGTGGTTGTTTTGATTCACTGACTATAAATAGCGTGTCTTCATACAATCTTAGACCGCCCCACTTGGCACAAAGACGGCGCGTTGCCAAGGAATGATCCTTTAACTCTGCCATAGATGGTTTATTATTGCCATGTAGTTGCCTCTGATAAATAAATCGCAGATCTGGGTCTTCTGCTTGAAGAGACGGCCAGTCGATCTCGGGGGCTGTGCTAAGGACGGCACTAATGGTATCAGGAGAATAAGGTATACGAGATAGAGAATCAGCGTTTGTGTGTCGGCTTCCGGGTCGGTATTCACAGGTAAAATCAAACTCCTGCAACCTCTCCTGCCAGCGCGCTACCTGACCTTCTGGTTCACGGAACGAACGAAGCCACTGTAGTGCACGGTGGTCTGTGCGTACACGAAAGGGTCGTCCTAAAAGATAGTGACGAAAATGTTGCGAAAATTTTACCAAAGCCAGCATCTCTCGGCTTATATTGTTTTAATTGTATCAAATTACTCAACATTTTCACATAAATTAGGTTTTTAAATGACCAAAAAAACTTGACAAGATCAATTAAAACTTCTAAGTGTCATAAAATTTCGTTCTGCTGACAGCCCACATAAAATATTCAGTAACTATCTACTAAAAATCTAACAGAGGAACACCAGAGTAATCAAAAACACTTTACTCAACAAAAAATAAATGTTTTGTTAACATAGTGGACACAACAAAAAGTAAATACGGTGAATATATTCATATCATTTCTTAATATTTTACAAGCAAATTTATGAGGTGGTTTTTTCATCCAATTACTTCACACTAATCTAAACTGACCAAAGCATTTTGCCACAATTTTGCTATACGACTACGCTCAACACGGGAAAGTAACTAATTTGAAAACGCTGTGACGGAAAACGAGAATAAACGCAGTTCTATAACGTGTGCTAGGTTAAGCGTTGGTTTATCGTTGTTTACCCCACCATTAAAAAAAAGCAAAAAGCTGATTACATGCAATTCATCTTTAAATTGATCAAGTAAAACACAAGGGTCCGCTAGGTTGCAAGATTTCTAGAAGCTTATTCATGGTCGGACGGAATAAGCATGAGCACAAATGGCCAAAAATATCTCTAATCTTTAGCTTATATATATATATATATATAGTATTCCAATTATGCATGCTAGTAAGATGCAACGCTAGGTACACATTTTAAGGGAAAATAGATAAAATATATTAAAGAAACTAGACATAATGTCGTACGACAATTTTCTAAAACCTCATCTAAAACATTTTTTTCAAGTAGAACTAATCAATACTACCAGGACTTTTAAGCGTTACCTTTCTGATTTCCTCAGGTTATGAAAACCTGGCTAACTAGAACTATATGACGGGTTATTATGTGTAAGCATGAAGCGAAACTAGCCTTCAATAATAAAATTGGTTGACTACATCCAATTAATGTTCGTTCTGCTCACGAAAGTTACACACGTACAGAGAAATTATGTTTGTGAATATACATATGACTGATCGAGATTTTACGTCAATATTTTAATTATACTCATAATTTTATTTAAGTGAAATTTCATGAGTTTAAACTTCTCAATATGTCATGAAAGGTTAAAAAACCCTTAACAGCCTGGAAACAACATGCTAATCATGGAAATTCTAAAGCCAACTTGATGAAACATAACATGCAAAATAAAGTGGCAAGAAGTTAATCTCCTGTGTAAGTTGGTGCGTGTTGATGTCTTTGAGGTAGGATTGATTAATTAAAAGCTATGGATGGGTTTAATAGAAACCGTCAGAAAGCTTCAAAATCTGATTCTAAGACCCCGGCTAACCCTGTTCCTTCACACATGATCTACTTCGTCATAACAAATAAAAAACATAGTTACACGCCAGTCGAATTTCCGGTGGGACTATGATTTATGGACGACCTGTGAGTAACGCTCAAGTGACCTAGGAATGTTCAACAACGCAAACCGATAATAAGCTATAGTGCTGAAATGATATTTAACTAAATGGTTGAATGAATTTCGGGCCAAAATTCAAGACATGCTAACTTAAATAATAGTCCCGTAGAATTTTCTTAGGTGTACAACTGAAAGTGGTGAGGTTTATCTCAATGTACAAATCTATATACTGACTGAAATTCTTGTATTGCAGAACAAATAGTCTTACCCGCACTACAATATTAAGAAGTGCAACTCAAAACTGTATACCTAAAAATTAGGCCTAACGGAAGTCAGATAATAAAGTATACTTTGGGTCTTTAGAAAAAATCACTAACCTCAATCGAATCGTCAAGCTCAACAACTTTCACTGGGTTTTCTGATGTTCTATCAACAAATGCATATCTCGGAACTGGAACACCTTCTCTCATCAAGCACTCATAAACCCTTCTCCTATCCATCAAAATGTATTGGGACTCAAGATCATTGACAAGGTAAGGCTTCCGCAGCTTCGAATAAGCAATAGCTTTTTTGAGAGGAAATCCTTCAGAATAAAAACTGACCAGTGCATCACAGATGGGCCATGACTCTATTGGTGAATCTAATATCATTTTCTCGTCAAATATTATTATCTTAATGTGCTGGAACTTGTCCATTCTTCTCAAAATTTCCTTCATTGGTTTTGACATTGCTTTCTTTGCCATTGCACAAACTCCTATTGTGACTACTACATCATTATCATCCGTCCTTTCACCCATATTTCAGTCACATAACCGTAAGTAGCGCCTTAAAAGTACATTTTAGGCACCTTAACGTAAAATTGACGTATCTAAACATACAGACGTCTAAATGGAAAAATCTCAATCTGCCGAAATAGAAATAATCTGCGTATTAAAAATGCTGTTTTGAATTATCTTAAATTATCTCTGAATTGTGTAATCCTATTGAGCCATACAACAATATTCCGGTATTGGAGAAAAATGTCTGTGGTGCAAAGACATATGTCTGTGCTTCTTACCTTCGAAAATCTGTGTCGGCATCATACTAGCAAATAAAGGTTTATTACATAATACTCTTGTTTTGTCCAAAGAGGCAACATCTCAGTATTATGAGGAAGCAGTAGCACCGCATAAGGGATAAAGTACGTTTATAGTAAATCCTAGGTATATTCAAATCACTTTATGTTATATGCGCCATAAAGACGCTCACTCCATCGGATCATACAAACCCCCTCATACACACTTTAGACACTGATCTGCTATGAGTGGATCCGTGGGACATGACATGACACCTAGCATGCCAAAGTATGGAGTGATGTACTAACGAGAAGCCCTGAGAAGTTGCGTATTTGCATCAAGTGATCTGTCGTACTAATTTAGTGAGTAGTTTGCATTGTTGAACACTCAACAAATTACTCAACATAAATAAAATTTTCGGCAACCAATATGAACCAAAAATCATCTGAAATAACGAGAATAACATGGGCAGAAGAATAATGTATTCACTTGCACTTTAAACACAAATTTACGCGATATTTTAATGTCGAAGTTCTTAGTGATGATACTGCGGTTACGTGTACTGAAAAGTGGGATGGATTTATCCGCAAGTTTCCATGTAAGCCTAATGTATTGCCCATTGCAATAACAGTCATGTCTGCGTTCATGTACTCATGTGATTTGTCATTTTATAATGTATTTTTTAATAAATAAGTTGATTATGCTGTGAATTTCGCTCTGGTTGTAATTTTTATTCTCCACGTCTGACTGCGTTACACTGTACGTTAATTGTATGCTTGTATTATATCCCGAGTCATAGTAAGTTTAATTATATTGTTGATTGTTTCGAAATAGACCATCAGTGTGTAGTGTTACTGAAGAAATGTTTGTTGTTCTGCAAACTATGTTTTTATGAACAACTGACTGTTGTCTTAAGTCTCAAAACAATTTCATTTGTCTTCAGTTAGGTAAGTTTACCTGGCATATAGTTCTTGTTTTGGGTTTATCGGCTGAATTATGTACATTTAACTACTTTGAGTAACATGTCTGTGCAAATGAAACAATAATTATGACACTTGCTTGGTTTACTATTCTTGGTTGTCGTCTAATTCAGTTTAGTCTATAGAATTATATTATACCTAAGTATAGTGCTTGAAGCCTGTCACGAAACAGATCAGTTTATTATGTAGAGCTTTCTGTTTTTTTAATGGTATACTGATTTAAATCAGTCTGATTAAAAATCGGAAAAATGTGCCTTTGATGCTGTTGTTGTCATACCTTATAAGAAAGCGATAAGTATGTTTGGTGTTTATTTGTAGACTGTGCATCTAGCACTGACCATGTTTCAAGATTTTTTTCATTAAACAATTTCTTCATAGGTTAACTGAAATAGAAAATCCAGATATTAACTTGATAGGTTTATTTAGCAAGACTAGTATCTACTTTGAACTTACTGTGTGAGAAAGTTGTACTGGAACTACGAATGTTGTAGGAATCCAATTTCCCTCAAACTAGAATACAGTTGTCTAAAAATAATTTGGATATGAAGGTGAATATTTTCATGTACTTTACATCTCAAGGGTGAAGATATTATGTACCGGTTGACATCATAACGTAAAAAACACAAATGTACGGGTGATGAAATATGATCTATGAAAAAGTGAACTTAATAGCAGTTAATTACCACTTTAATTCCTGATCATAACCCTCCAGCTTCCTTTTATGGCCAAAACAGCAAACATACACTACACACTGATAGCATATTTCAGGCTTTTCAATATTAAGCTTGCTTTCACGCACGATGTAATGAGTACAACTCCTGTATTACTTTATATAGTATATTTTTAATAACAAAACCTCTGCATTAGATTAGTAGCATCTGTGACTTCGTCTATGGTTGTCCGAAGTCTGGGTCCTTTCGAAAATAATACTGATATCCCCTACTGCTGGGCACCTAGTATTAGTTTGACTTGTTGATGGGATAATGTTGTCCATAATACTGAAGAAAATTAAAAACCGATGATCTTTTTCTTTCGTTTCGCCGATAACATCAAAAAGGACAGTTGGGAACGGACATGCAGACAGTTAGTCACAGGTGGCAGCAACAATTATTTTTTATCTCAAACAACTTAATTCGATTTGAGTATCTAAATACCAAGTCAAAACAAAACCGATTATCATTTTAAAGCATAAGACTGATGAGCTTGCCTGAAGAAATACACTGACTCCAGTAGCAGCAGCAAAAACATGGAAAACAAAGCTAAATCAGGAAATATTTGCTACAACATTTACGGTATTACATTAATTTCTGCATTTTAGCACACTGATACATCAAATTATGTAGGTAAACAAGAAATAGCGGAAAAAGCACAGAACGAAGAAAGCCGGCCGCCACTGTTTACAAAGATGGGAAATATAATAATTGCTGCTTCATTCTGATTGGTCACTAAACAGACTGCCACGTTGACGAAATCCAGTTGCGTTTAATTGTAGACGGGCACTAGGGTAAGCCAGGGGCTTTCGCGCACATGTTACATATCGTCATGGCTGTTTTGTGTCGTTATTTATCATCTATAAACAGCCTTTTTTCCATCACACATCAAGTTTCGTAATGTTTGTAAGTGTTACGTAGTTTTTATTCCAATTTATTAGCAGTTTGACGTATTTGTTGCTCACCACCCAAGTGAATCTTTCGTAAGCCTATTATGGCTATTTGTAACAATACAAACCCAAGCAAGTGTAACTCACCATTTTTTAAGTAAAAAATAGATCACAAATTGAGTTTTCAGGAAAATAAGCTTTAAAACTTATAACATCTGGTTCACTTCTTTGATTATGGTGATGATGAACATGGATGTTGGCAGTTGTTTATAAAATGTAGATAGAAACAATTAAGCGTTAATCTATATATGAATATTATATAACTTGCTAATATTTAGCCATAAACAATTTTATCCATTATAAGTATCACCGTTTTGTACTGAAGTGAGATATTATTATGTAACGCATCTGAGAAGAACTGTGAGTAACAGTTGGCATTGATACTCTTTTTCACCCGCTTTCCGAACGTATACAGGAACAGTGTATAACACCACTGGAAGTGCCACATTAAGTAGTCACAAAATCCTCATAAGTAAAACGATGTGTGTTTCTTTCGAGCTTGGTGACAGAACATTGTAGTAGTTATTACTGGTTTATGATGTGTCCGTTATAGGGTTCACAAATAAGTTCCTGTAAACAGAATCCGTAATAACTGACCAATTATGAACAAAGTTATAATGCATATTGTCGAGTAATATCTAAATAATGCCTACAATTTCTTGTTAATACTAAATGTCTAGGTGAAATACTAGATGGGTAAGAAAATGAAGAGCGCTGTTTACATGAAATAAGAAGCTTATAAGTTATTTGTAACCAGTTAGTGAAGTCAGAAATATGCTGAAACCAGAATTTTAAGGCAATATGAGCCGTGAAACCATTAACATTTCATTTACATCATAAACTTGGTATAAACAAATGTAATAAGACTGTTAAGCGTTCACAGTTATGTGATGAGGATTTGAAGCTCCCAGTCCTTGGTACAACACAACCCTAGAATCAAATAACAACTGTTAATGAGTTAATTCTTGAATTCCTACTCCGTTACAGACTGACTCAATCAAAGCAGTTCATGCAAAATACGTGACGAAAAGTGAAAGAGCAATCGAAGCTAAATCACTAATTTGTAGCATTCATATCTCCTTTGTGCCACATTAGTTAGTCACATTTTCCTCATAAGTCGGTCGATTCCTGTACGTTGTGATGATAGTAACTACAGCAATTTGTAAATACACCAATTTCTCATATGTCTGTTCTAAAGATTACCAATCCGAAATCTCTAATGAATAGCACTGTTTGCAAATAAGAGACTTATAGGTGCACCTGTTACCTGCTATTTGATTAACTTATCGAATGTGATATTGATAACAAAGTTTAATTGTTTGTCTCATGACTGATTTGTTGTTTTCCATAATAGTACGAGCTTATAGAATTTATGATTATGGAAGATCATGTGGAAAACCTGTTTACAAGTTTACGATTTTGTAACTATCAGGCTCTTTATGATTGAGAATAAGTCAATCAATCTGTGATATAGATTGTTTTCCTACGCTCAACACTCAGACTCACGTTTCCAATATTATGCTGGATTAGCTGTTCTACTAAGACAAACTATAACATTCTAACTCGGACTTTTACACTAGAATTATGTTGCTGGCATCGGATAAACAAAAAAGGGAAAAAAGTCAGACAACAAAAGATATAGTCATTAGTATTCTTAACACTTCACCTTTCTAATAAACCGCTTTCCTTTAATCAGCCTTGAATTCCTTCCTTCATGTGAGCTTACTACAACTCGTTAAGCGACACAACTCATTGTTCTTTATTACTACATTCTCTAATATGGAGCCTCTGACTTCATTTCACTCTAACAAAATATAATATGAATTTATTCTAATTCATTATACCTCTGTCCTTTCTACTACACAATGTTAAGCAACGTTTGGCGTTCATATCCAAGTGCCTTTCTGCTCTTCTGTTTCTCTTTTTTTCTTCAGAAATTTGCTCTGAGGGCACAGCTATGAAACTTTTGGACGTCTGGAACAAACTTGACGTACGTGTCTCCTCAAGGTCACGGTTTACAGCAAGCGCCCTACGGGTATACTTCATAACAACCATAAACTTAATAAGTTGCGAATCATTTTGTGAACCAACAAGTATTGTAATTGATAGATCATGCCTGTAAAAATGGCGTGTTCCTGCGC